TCCCCCGCCCCATGGCATCGGGGGACACTGAGTTCAAACTAAAAACGAGTCAGCAGGGCACCAGAAACTATTTAATTGGATGAAATTTATATTACCTCAATCCAACTTGGACGCTGGGCCCACTTGCAATATCAGGATGTAGGTAGTCCTCAACTTACAACCATTCATTTAGTGACTGGATGAAATTACAATGGCACTGAAAAAATGACTTAGGACCGGGCTATGGGTTTGAGCTCTGAGCTTGGCAATTTGGGTGCAACCATTTTGTCACCATTCGAGGAGACGTCGTCAGTACGCTTTGAATTGTGCTCGTCTGTCCAAGCACAGGCCTTTCAATGCCTTTTGATATGATGCAAATCGGTGACTCTTGTTTGTTCTGAGTCATGGAATGATTTCGGACAGACGAGCACAATTCAAAGCGCACTGACGACGTCTCCTCGAATGGTGACAAAACGTGGGCACGACTCTCTTAACAACTACTTTGCTTAGCAGTGGAAATTCTGGTCTCCGTTGTGGTTCTAAGTTGAGGACTCCCTGTATAGGAACAAACAATAGTGGAGACTATCATCAGCCCTGAAAAGGTGGCTCCTTAACATTGCCTGGGGGGACATGGGGGGTCTGAGGGACAGCTGTCCATCCCCAGGTCACTGTGTATGGATAGCAGCCCAACCCTCAATGCAGAGGGCGCCTCCTGTCCAGAGCAGAGCCTCGCTCTATATTTACAGAATAAGAATTGGAGGTTTTCTAGACCGACCTCCTGCATCATGTCAGATGGGGGGCTCTCCAGTCTCTTCTTAAAAACCTTCAGTGATGCAGGACCTACAATTCTGGAGAGTAGCCCTTCCACCGCTTAATTGTTCTGTCAGGAAATTTCTCCTTAGTTCTAGGTTGCTTCTCTCCTTGCTTAGTTTCCACCCATTGCTTCTTGTCCTATCTACCTCAGGTGCTTTGGAGAATAGCTTGACTCCCTCTTCTTTGGGGCAGCCCCTGAGATACTGGAAGGCTGCTATCATGTCTCCCCTAGTCCTTCTCTTCATCAAACTAGACATACCCAGTTCCTGCAACCGTTCTTCATATGTTTTAGCCTCCAGTCCCCTAATCCTCTTTGATGCTCTTCTCTGCACTCTTTCCAGAAGTCTCAATATCATTTTTATATCACGATGAACAAAATTGGATGCCGTATTCCAAGTGTGGCCTTACTAAGGCATTATAAAATGGTACTAACACTTTACGTGATCTTGATTCTCTCCCTCTGTTAATGCAGCCTAGGATTGGCCTTTTTGGCGGCTGCTGCACACGGCTGGCTCCTAATTAAAGGATTTAATCCTAGGACTCCAAGATTCCTCTCCCAGTTACTACTATTGAGCCAGGTACCACACATACTGTACCTGTACTACACCGAATGTACTACAAGCCTTCGGTTTTTCATGCCCAAGGGTAAAACTGGGGAAAGGATCCCCGGGGCAAGTGCTTCAAGGAGGACTCCCTCCTTCGCCAGTGATGGGTGGGAGGTAGGGCTGTGGGTGGGGGCTTCCATTTTGATTTCCTGCCTGGGGCTCCAAGCCGTCTTCAGCTGTCCCAGCGTGGCTGGCTTCCTGTTTAGATTTCTGCAAGCGGCTCTTCACTTCCGCTTCTCTCTCTCTCTCTCTCTCGCTCTCAGCAAGGCGCACCACGCCCGCCCTCGGCCCCTTCCTCTGCAGATGCGATGGGAGGGGGTGGGGGGAGCAACCGGGGGGTGTCCTCCCTCCCTCCCTCTTTGGGGCCCAAAGGGCCAGAGGTTGAGTGTGAGAGGGTGTCACTCTGGTAGCCCCTCTCCCGACTTCTATTCCCAATGAATAAAAAGCAGAGGTTTTTGTGAAGAGGGACTTGTTCCATGAGAAGCTGCCTCTCTCCAAAACTTTGGCCTTTTAGTAAAATATACAGGCAGTCCTCACGTTAGGACCGTAATTGAGCACAAAATTTCCATTGTTAATTGAGACAGTTATTGAGTGAGTTTTGCTCCATTTTACGACCTTTCTTGCCACATGGTTGTTAAGTGAATCTGACTTCCCCATTGGTTTTGCTTGTCAGAAGGTTGCAAAAGGGGATCCCATGACCCCGGGACACTGCGACCGTCATAAATACGAGTCCGTTGCCAAGCATCTGAATTTGGAGCTGTGGGGATGCTGTAATGGTCATTAGTGTGAAAAATGGTCCTAAGTCACTTTTCCCAATTGTAACTTCGAACAGTCACTAAATGAAAGGTCGTAAATCGAGGGCTTCTGAATTTGTTGAGAAATGGGACTCCTAGAGTTCTGCTGGTGTTTTGTCCCCTAGACTGATGTGATTCTAGAGGGCAAATAGAGGGTATGAATGAATGAAATGGCCCCACCATGCTTCGGGAGACTCTGGGGAGGAAAAGCAGGGGGAAGCCTGATCTCTAGGCCCAGAGCAGCCTTTAGACCCCCTGGGGTTATGGGGAGCTGGTGCAAGTGGGGTGCAGGAGGAGGTTCCCTGTTCGGGAAACCAAAGCCCCACTGATTTCTTCTTCCTAGAAGTAAGACAACGGCACTTCTCTTGGCTGAAGACAAGCAAGGAGGACCGGGGGGGGGCATGATAGCAGTCTTCCAGTATTTGAGGGGCTGCCACATAGAAGGGGGGGGGTCAACCTCTTATCCAAAACACCTGAAGGCAGGACAAGAAGCAACAACGGGTGGAAACTCATCAAGGAGAGAAGCAACCTGGAATTGAGGAGAAACTTCCTAACAGTGAGGACAATTAACCAGTGGAACGGCTTGCCACCAGAAGTTGTGGCAGTTGCTCCATCACTGGAGATTTTCAAGGAGACTGGATGGTCATTTGTCCAGAATGGTCTAGGGTCTCCTGCTTGAGCAGGAGGTTGGACTAGAAGACCTCCAAGGTCTCTGCCAACTCTGTTCCTCTATAAAACTCTGTGAATTCTGGCCTTCCAATGGGGCTGCCATCCCTTCTGTGACTAAGTCCAGCCATCTTACTGCTGGTTCTCCTCCTCTTCTCCTTCCTTCCTTCCTTCCTTCCTTCCACTTCTGCCAGCCTCAGAGGCTTCAGCCTTAGTGCAGCTGCATCTTCACATCCTGTATAGGAAGCAGCATAATTTGAACTTGGTCATTGATGCTCAAAGGAGAACTCTGGGTCGATTTAATTTGGTTTATTTTCTCGCCTGACCCTTCCTTCCTTCCTCCCCTTCCTTTCCCCCTTCCTTCCTTCCTTCCCTCCCTTCCTTCCTCCTTCCCCTTCCTTCCCCCTACTTCCTTCCTCCCTCCCTCCTCCCCTCCCCTTCGTTCCTCCCTCCTTCCCCTTCCTTCCTTCCTCTCTCCCTCCCTTCCCAGTATCTAGTCATCCAGCATAAGAACTAACCATCAGCCCCCCCCAACATCTCCAGAGACTTAAATCACTTCCCACAAGTCCTGTGGCACCTTGAAAGCTCACCAATGATGTGAGAAGAGCTAAAGTGTGCAAGAAGTGTTTCCCATGGGCCCATCCTCCACCAAATTGACTTTAACCGTCAATTTACTGTAAAACTGTCAGCTCAGACAAGCGGCACCTCCTGGGAACGCTTACAGATTGATTTCGCATCGCCCACCAAAGCGTGCCACGACAGTTCACGCTGAAAGCAAAAGACGACAAAAGCTTTTGCACGTTGTTGTTTTTTCGTTGCAATTAGGAAAGCTTTCTGCAAGCCGGTTGCGTGAATTTGGCTGCTTTTGAAGGAAGGAGGCTGGGAGGGCTGCAGTCCAATTGGCTGCCCAATCTTTTGTCGCTTTGAGAAAAGTCCGGGGGGTGGGGGGGTGGGGGGGTGGGCTCACCAGGAAAAGCTCGATCTGGCCGCTGTCCAGAATCCAGGAGAGCTGCTTTCAAGGTGGACTGGACAGGCTGAGTGAGAACTGACCAGCCATCTCAGCCTAAAGCCAGGTTATCCAACCTTGGCCACTTTTAAGACTAGGGGACTTCAACTCCCAGAATCCCCCAGCCAGCTCTGGGTTGGAGTCCAATTCTGGGATTTGAAGTCCACAAGTCTTCAAAGTGGCCAAGGTTGGAGACGGCTGGTCTAACCATTTGTGGCCATCCCCTTGAACAGAGGGCAGGAAAGGAATCACGTGCCCCCCAGAAAAGCCTTGTAGCAGTAGACGAGTAGCCCACCCGGACTCTGGGAATCCCCCCAGGTGACGGCCGACCTCCGCAAGGCTCACGCTGCCATCTCTTGCTCCAGCAGCCTCCGGGGGCTTTTGCAAGTGTCGCCTGTGAGTTCAAATCCTGCAGGTTAAAGCAGCCCTTCCAGCCCGTAAGATATTAGAACGGGGGACGGTCTATAAAAACGGAGGACGTCTAGAGATGCTCCTGTGTTAGAGATCAATGGGCAGCCCTGGGCATGGCGGGCATGAGCATTTTCGGTGCCTCCAGGGGGGCAGAGATGAAGAGCAGAGTAAGTCGGGAGGGGCTGATGAAGAAGAGGCTGCCATTTGTCAGAAATGTGTAGGGTCTCCTGCTTGGGCGGGGGGGTTGGACTAGATGACCTACAAGGTCCCTTCCGTTAATCTGTAATCTGATGGGGTCATTCACATATATGCAGATAGTTCTCGATTTACAACCGCGATGGAGCCCAAAATTTGTTAAATGAGCTTTGCTCCATTTTACGACTTTCCTCGCCACCGTTCTTAAGTGAATCACTGCCGTGGTTGAGTTAGTCACACGGTTGCTAAGTGAATCTGGCTTCCCCGTCGACTTCGATCATGTGACCCCCTGGGACGCTGTGACCGTCATAAATATGAGTCATTTGCCGAGTGTCCGAATTTTGATGACGGGATTGCTGCAACGGTCGTAAGTGTGAAAAACGATCCCAAGTGCCTTTTTTCAGTGCTATTGTTAAACTTCAAACGGTCACTAAACAAATGGTTGTAAATCGAGGACTGCCTGTACACACACGCCCCCACTGTCTCTGCCAGCCTCTTCCCAGCGTTTCTTGTTTTTTGATCCTCCCGCAGGTCGCTGAGGCCGAGAGCCCCGGAGAGCCGCCGCAATGCAGAGCATCAAATGCGTGGTGGTGGGTGACGGGGCGGTGGGCAAGACCTGCCTGCTCATCTGCTACACCACCAACGCCTTCCCCAACGAGTACATCCCCACCGTCTTCGACAACTACAGCGCCCAGAACACGGTGGACGGCCGGACCATCAACCTGAACTTGTGGGACACGGCCGGCCAGGAGGAGTACGACCGCCTGCGCACCCTCTCCTACCCGCAGACCAACGTCTTCATCATCTGCTTCTCCATCGCCAGCCCGCCCTCCTACGAGAACGTCAAGCACAAGTGGTACCCGGAGGTCTGCCACCACTGCCCCGAAGTGCCCATCCTCCTGGTGGGCACCAAGAAAGACCTGCGCAGCAACCCGGAGACCCTGAAGAAGTTGAAGGAACAGAACCAGCTGCCCGTCACCCCCCAGCAGGGCGCCGGCCTCGCCAAGCAGATCCACGCCGTCAAGTACCTGGAGTGCTCGGCCCTCAACCAGGAGGGCATCAAGGAGGTCTTCACCGAAGCCGTCCGGGCCGTCCTCAACCCGGCCCCGCCCAAGCCCAAGAAGGTCTGCCGGCTGCTTTGAAGGGGGCCCCCGCTGCCCTCTGCTTATGCCCAGGAGCACCCTCTCTGCTTGCCCAAGCTCTGCTTCCCAGGAAGGCTCAGGGACCAGCCGGCTTGGAGCGCCCGCTCAGGCACGGAGCCTTTTCCCCCCAAGGGGGAGCAAAGGCCAGGATGACTGGCCCTCCATTTACGACCAGACTTCCCGTGGCTAAGAAGTGTGGTTGCTAAATGAGTCACACCTGATTTTTTGGCCTTTTTTTTTTGCCACCGTTGTTAAGCCACAGGTACAGCACCTAGCCTTATATTCCACCCCGTAGGGCTTTACAGCTGCACTCTCTGAACCAGCCTTATTTAACAAACAAAATAACAGAGTCTGAAGGGACCTTGGAGGTCTTCTAGTCCAACCCTCTGCTCAAGAGGAGACCCAAAATCTGGGTCCTCATTCGACCGACCTCAGAAGGATGGGAGGCTGAGTCAACCTTGAGCCGGTCAGGATCGAACTCCTGGCAGTGGGCAGAGTCTGCCTGCAATGCTGCACTCTAACCACTGGGCCACCAGGGCTCCACGGTTAAGTGAATCACTGCTGTTCAATGAATCAGGCAGTCGTTCAGCGAATCTGGCATCCCCCATTGACTTTGCTTGTCAGAAGCCAGCTGAGAAAGCCACCTGTGGCGATCACATCACCCCGGGATGCCACCACTGCCTTAGACACATGCCCGTGGCCAAGGGCCCGGATTTGGATCAGATGGCCATGGGGATGCTGGAATGGTCGTAAGAACGAGGTCATTAGTCACTTATTACAGTGCTGTTGCAACTTTGGTCACTAAACGAATGGTGGAAGGCAAAGGACTGCCGGTACCCCCAGCTATGCTAAGCTTCCCGTTTCCTGGACGGGGTCAAGAGGAGGCGCCCAGAGGGGCTTCTCCAAGCGGCAACTGGACTTTCCTGGGTTTTCCTTGAGGACGTTTCGCTGCTTCTCCTCCGAGAAGCTTCACTGGAGCCGAAGTGAAACGTCTTCAAGGAAGGAAACCAAGGAAGGTCCAGTTGCCTCTTTGGGACAACCAGAGGGCTGAGAACCTCCAGAGGCTTCCTTCTCTCCCTGCTCTTCCTGGGCAGAGGTGCCAAGCCATCCGCTTGGCAGAAAATCCGCCCCAGGAGAGGGAGGGTGAAGCAGAAGGCGGAGACCTGCCCTGGTCCCTTTGCACTCGGTGGCACCCAGCCGAAGGGTCCCTCGGACGCGGAGGGAGGCCAGGGGCGCCTTGCAGAATTGAAACATGGCAGTTTTGGCAGCTGCCAAGCGAGATGCCCCTTTTGCCGCCTCCTCCTCCTCCTCCTCCTCCAGCTCCACATCCTGTTTACAAAGGAAACGCTCCGTTTTCAGGGCCGGCCGTTTTGCGCTTCCGCCGTTTTCCTTCTGCGAAGACTCTCTGTGGGCTCTCCACTCCCAGGGCTCTCCTCTGCCGGTGGGTTTGCAGCCTGGGCCTTTTCCTCTTCGCCTTTCACTGCCAGAGGCAACGGGGCATCTCCTGAGCACGTCCAGAGATTCCCTCCGCACTGCCACCGGAGACAGCCGGCTTCTGCACACGCTTTGTGTCGAGCGGGAGAACAGAGGACACGCCGGAAGACCCCAAATCCAGACTGTTCCCACCTCCCTTAGTTCAAACTCAGCCTCTCTCGGGCTCCTGGGCCACCCTTGGCGAGGCCCGGCCATTGGTCGGCTGGGTTCCACCGTCATGGGGACTAGCAACTTGCTGGAATGGCTTGGAAGTCAGGATTCTCAGGATTCTCCATGCTCAGGTAGCCTTTCGGACGTTGTGGCTCACAGCCCTTGTGGCGGACCAGCCCTCCAGGAGTTTTCTTAATCAGAAAGAGCTATGGGGGTCTAGCTGCCCAGACACCCCACTGCCCAACAGACGCTTCCTCCTGTTTTTCTCCAGCTCACCACGTTCCGGAGCAGCGGCCTCACCAGTCTTTGGCCTGGAAGACTTCGGGGGGGGGGGGGGGGCTCACCCTGCGTTCCCTGCGGTGATTTCCCTGCACCAGAGTCTTTTTGTTACCCCCCCCCAAATAAAGATGGCAACTTCCCCCATGTCTCTCAGGCTCCTTCTCAGGTTGATGTGGGGTCTGTGTTATCCAGGGGTGTAGGACAACTTGTTACGGGACAACTTAATGCGAGGTAACTATACTCTAGGCCAGGGGTCTGCAACCTTAAACACTCAAAGAGCCATTTGGACCCGTTTCCCACAGAAAAGAAAACACCGGGAGCCACAAAACTCTTCCCGTGCCTGACTATTTCTTGAGTGGCCACAAAACTAGCCTATGTAGTTGAATTAAACTTTTCTTTTCTTGGATTTATCCATGGTTGGGCTACTGGGGGTTGAAAAGCTCAATAAATCACATGTCGGCGGGTGTCACACATTGGTGGTTGTGACGCATATTTTGAGTGACAGGGAGCCGCAGCAGAGGGATGAAAGAGCCACATGCAGCTCCAGAGCCGCAGGTTGCTGACCCCTGCTCTAGACCTATTATTAGCAATAATATCAATAATAACGTAGCAATAATAATATATGAATAATAATATAGTTCTCTCGCGGCCAGTTGTCCCATGACAAGGGGTCCCATTCCATGATCCAGCTCTGCATGTGGTCTGGCCAGCTGCAAGGACAGAGGTGGCCCAGTTCAGTCAAAGCAACTAATTTTGCTTCCGTACTGTGAGGGACAGCTTCAGCCAGGGCTCGGGGGTCACTGCTCCTGCCCGTGGAGGTTCCATCAAGGCTCCTCCTCTGGTGCTTTGATGAAGAACCAAGAGTCTCCTTGCCTTTTCTAAAGGCCCCTGTAAAAGGGCGGCTGGTGTTTCATGGGTTGACTGAGAGGCTGGCCGATGCAGGATGGGGAAAGAGCGAGCCCCTGCCCCAAAGGATTTTGGGAGGGGGGGAGGGGAGGGACCGTGCTGTAATGCTCTTCCAAAGTCCATAACAAGGTTGAACCTCGACTCAATGGTGTCACCTGGAGGCTTTGCTCCACAACGTTGGTTACTTTCATCTACCGGAAAGTGGATTTTGAACTCAGGACCACAAAACTGGCCCCGGGAGGAGGAGGAGAAAGACCTCAAGATCCTCGCTTTGATGGCCTATGCCGGGGGTTTCCAAACTTAGAAACTTTAAGGCTTGTGGACGTCAACTCCCAGAATTCCTCAGCGAGCTGGCTGAGGAATTCTGGGAGCTGAAGTCCACAAGTCTTAAACGTTGTCAGGTTTGAGGCCTCTGGGCCATGCAGAGATGGGGCAGTGCCCTTTTTTCAAAGGGGGTAAGAACGTGTGGGACATTCTGGTTCCCTTCCACTGCAGACAGAACCAACTCCCAACAAGGCCGGAAAGCGGCTTGCACCTCTCGGGGCTGACCAGCAACGTCTGGCCACATCTGCCTTCAGGCTGGCTCCAACTGGTCTCCCACCGGCCAAGCAAGCCAGCCCAGAGCATCCTTCCAGCTCTGTGCAAAAACCACCAGCAAAGAAGCATTTCCACCACCACCCCACATCATGTGGCGGTCTGTTCCACCGGCCAACAGTTCTTGCATTCATGAAATTCCTTGCGATGTCTCGCCTGGCCTTTTAGTGTCACAGGTAGTTCTCGGCTTATGACAACAACTGAGACCAAAATTTATGTTGCTAAGGGAGACATTTGTTAAGTGAGTCTTGCCCCATTTTATGACCTTTCTTGCCACAGTTGTTAAGTGAATCACTGCAGTTGCTAAGTTAGCGACACGGTCGTTAAGTGAATCTGGCTTCCCCATAGACTTTGCTTGTGAGGTCACAAAAGGGGATCACGTGACCCCAGGACACTACGACTGTCATAAATATGAAGCAATTGCTAAGCATCCAAATATTGATCACATGACCCCAGGGATGTTGCAACGGTCAGTGTGAGAGCTGGTCTTAAGTCACTGTTGTAACTTCAAACAGTCACTAAATGAACCGTTGTTCTGGAGGTATCTGAAGAGGGCACTCATCTCTCTCCTTGGGGGTCTCTTGAGCAGGCTGGACACATTGCTGTCGCTGTGCCCCATGGGTCTTGGGTCCAGCCCCTCTAAATGTCCTCCGATTCCTCCCCGTCCCCTCCTTGGAAGCCTGGTGCCCAGAGCTGAACGCAGCATTGCCAATGGGGCCAGACCAATCTCAATTGGAGCAGAGTCTCCCAACCTGGGCCTCTTTAGGACTTCAACTCCCAGAATTCCCCAGCCGGTCACAAATGATAGAGTTGCAAGAGACCAGAAGGACCCCTTTCTCCAGCGTCTCTCAGTCTGGGCAACTTTTAAGACACATGGACCTCAAGTCCCAGAATTCCCTAGCCAGGTTTCCCCAAATGGGGTGAGGGAAGGCACAATTCACCCCCCTCCCCTCCATTTTTCCAGATGCTTCCTTGGCTGTAAAAAGCAATGAGTGGCTGCAGACCAAGAGAGGGAGGGAGGGATGGACGGTGACAGATTGGAGCCAAAAAGGACACACACCCTGCCCCCCCCCCCCCCCCGCATCCCCTCTAAAACCACCCAGAGAACTCACCTTTTAAAAAAATACTCAGTGCTTTATTTTGTGGGGAAAGTAAAAAGTAGATGAAAATACATTATCTGGCAATGCAAATTTTTCCACACAGAGACGGGAGGAAGAGGAACAAGAACCGCTCCAGGGTGACCCCGGGGTCCGAGTGTCCGAAGGCCCCGACCTTCAGATGGCGCATTTGGGCTCAGGGCTACCAACTCTGCCACTGGGGGGGGGGAACCGATGACCATGGAGGAGCCTCCCTGCCTCCTCTGTGGGGCAGCCGCTGGGCTCAGCCTCGCTTCTCCTGTCTGCCCCAAGCAGGAACTGGAGTGTGGGGGCAGGGGGGACTTGGAGCCAAGAAAGGCACGGCCCCCGAGCGAATCCTCCACATCCCGTCCACAGAAAGAACTGGACCTTGCCCAGCCTCCCTTCGGCCCAAATGGTTCCGCAGAGCCTCTCCTTCAGTCATTGTTCAAGTCAGTTTTGGTCAAGCAGCCACCGCACAGCAGCCCACGCACCCTCCCTCCCCGATTCTCCAGATCTGTATCTTTGGGGGGGGTGCGGGGGACCCACGCAATGCACACTTTGAGCCTCTCCCCAGACTTCCACGTCTCAGGAGGGCGAAAGAGCAGGGAGGTCAACACGGTCGAAGCACAGCAGCCCTCCCTTCCCCCGGCCTGGGGGGAGAGGGGGGATGGGGATATCAGTACAAAAGCTAAAAAACGAGGGGAGGGGAGAGGGGGGTCTCAAGAACCTCAGCCCCTCCTGCCCATTTGTTTCACCTCCATGATTGCAGCGGGGGAACCCGTGGCTGAAGGGAGCCAGCCACCACTCCCCCAGCAGGGAGCCCCCGCCCCCACCACCCTGGAGATTAAATGTCCCCCCTCCCTAGTAGGCAGCAGCACCAGTGGTGGCCTCCAACGTCCTTTGGAGAGCGGAAGCCGGGGGGGCTGCAGTACTTCCCACCGAGCAGTGGGAGCGGTGGGGCTGGGGGTGGAAGAGTCCTTTCCTGGGGGGCTCCTTGTCTCCTTCAGCGCTCAAGGACGGCACAGCCACCCCAAAGTCCCCCCCCTTTCCAAAGCAGCAGCGTTGCCGCCCCCCACCCGCCCCCTATAAAGAGGCTCCTCCACCAGCTGGCCGGCCGGTTCCCGGCTAGAAGCGCTTGTCCTCCGGCTGGGAACTGACCACCAGCTCCTTGTTGCCAAAGTCCCACCAGGCGGTCATGTGGAAGGCCATGTTGGACAGGACCACCAGGTACTCCAGGAAGGCGAAAACCGTGTACACTGCAAGAGGAAGCAGACGCAGAACATGGAATCCTAAGGCTGGAGGGGACCTCAGAGGTCTTCTAGTCTGTCCCTGGCTGGGGGATCCTGGGAGTCCCACAAGTCTTAAAGCTGCCTCGGTAGAGAACCTGATCTAAGCTTTTCAATTTGCCCATCAGAAGTGGGCTTGGGTTCCATATAAAGCACAGGTCTACAAATTTGGCCACTTTTAAAGACCTGTGGACTTCAACTCCCAGAATCCCCCAGCCAGCATGAGAAACACTGGACACGGTAACCCTTCTGGTCCCTTCCAACTCTATCATTCACGGCTAGCTAGGGAATTCTGGGAATTGAAGTTCTACAAGTCTTAAAGCTGCCAAGTTTAGAGAGCCCTGACACGAAGCAAAATCCACAATGCCTGGGATATTCTGCTCCACATCGGGAAGACCGTTTGCATTCAACAGGTGCATCAGCATCTCATCCCTTCCAGCAGTCAAGAGAGTTCCTGGCCATGCGCAAAAAGCTCCCCGTGTGGCTTTCAGGGGTCTAAAGCTGAACTTCTGAACCTGGGCTTCACGGACCGAAAGTCCATGTTTATTTTCAATAATCGGCCACAGAGAGTTAGTTTTTCACTCAATAAAATATGTGGGCCACCAAGGAGTGATGGGTCTCTGGGCTCCCGAAAGGTGTGCTGACTTTAATGAATCTCATTACTTAAAATGATTTATGCCTCCAAAATAGTATTCGTACGGATTTCATGGGCTAATAATGAAGGACCGATATTACTATACGACGTGTCTGTTCCTTTTAATAAAGTTTTGGAAGGCCATTTGAGCGTCATTCGTTTCCTTTCCCTCACTGACCACTGGATCTCTGCGTTTAAGTGCCTTGGTCTGAGGAGGGTCCAGAGGTTTGGCCCGACTCTCAGAGGGGTCCCGGGCACAAGACAAGGGCTAAAGACCCCCGGTCTAAAGGCTTCAGCTGCAATCGGAAGGGAAGGGAAAGCAGAGAGCAGGGCAGAGGTCTGGAGGAGGGGAGAGCAGGGGAGCCCAGAGGAGAAGGGGGGCGGGGCCGCCTTACCTCCAGCCTCACAATACCGGTTATGACGGAAGTAGAAGCAGACGGCCACCAGGAAGGTGACCAGGTTGAAGAGGAAGAGCCACCATTTCCACTTGTAGGACTTGCGCTCCTGTGGAGAGAGACCGGGATGACTTCCCCTGGACCCCCCCCGACCCTCTCTCCAGCCCCCCCCCTTCTACTCCAGGCCAAGGCTCAAGGAAGCCCCTCGCGGGAATCCCCTGCGCCCGCCCACCCTGGGACGTCCACAGGGCAAAGTATCTGGGTGGGTCCCTCTTTTCTCCTTTGAAAGCAGAAAGCATCTCTGGGTGGTGGTGGTTTTTTCAGGGGGGGGGGTTGGCTATCTCAATTGTAATTGGAACCCCTGGACTTCCTCCATATCTGGCAATACTGAGGTTGTCAGAGCTGAACAGCCTAATTTTTACAAAAAGCCACCCGGCTTGGAACTGCCTACAGGCAGGGAGTTTGCAACCTACCACCAAAATCGAGCCCAACATTTCTGCTGTTAAATGAGACATTTGTAAGTAAGTTTTGCCCCATTTTACCATCTTTCTTGCCTTAGTTGTTAAGTGAATCACTGCAGTCGATAAGTGAGTCACACGGTTGTTAAGTGAATCTGGCTTCCCCACTGACTTTGCCTGCCAGGTGGTCACAAAAAGGGGATCACGTGACCGCTGGACTCTGCGACCGTCGTAAGTCCATGCCAGTTGCCAAGCACGAGGCTATTTGGATCACGTGACTGCAGGGATGCTACAATGGTTGCACGTGTGAAAAGGGGTCACAGGTCACTTTTATTTAGTGCCGTTGTAACTTTGGTCACTCAACGGACTGTTGTAAGTCGAGGACTCTCTGTAATAACAGAAACGAAAGACTTGTCTACTTCTTTACAAAATCTGGGTAATGCCGGGGGCTTCAGGAGGACCAGGCTGGGCAGCGACAGCGGAAGAGGTCAGAGAAAACCCAGAGAATGAGGAGTGGGGCGACCATGCCCTTGGGGTCATTCCAGGCAGGCTTCCAGAAACTCACCCCCCCACCCCCACCCCCCACCCCAAGGGGAAACTACCTAGTGGCTTCCCTGGCCTCTCGGTGGAAAACTGCTGAACCGTTCCTCCTCCCACAACGGCATACAGGAGAGAGAGAGAGAGGGTTCCAGAAAAACCAGCTTTTGTCCAGCTGTGGTGTTTACTCCTCTGCCCTGCTGGTCAGCTCTGCAGACGCCTCTGGTAGGAGCCCTCAGTGCAGGACTAGAAAGGTCTTTGGCCTCCCCCAGCTCTGCACCTGCCCTGGAGCCTCAGCTGCTGGGCCAGAGCATTGCAGACAATCCCAGGGCTGGAAGGAGCAGAGTCACACAGTTGGAAGGGAACTTGGAGGTCTTCCGGTCCAAGCTGGGCTACCTGGCCAAGGCAGGAGACCTTATACAGTCCCAGGGAAACAGCTGTCCTGTCTTTTCTTGAAAGCCTCCAGTGATAAGAGCACCCACAACTTCTTGTGGCAAGCTGGTTAATTGTTCTCGCTGTCAGGAAGTTTCTCCTTAGTTCCAGGTTGCTTCTCTCCTTGGTTAGTTTCCATCTGTTGCTTCTTGTCCTGCCTTCTGGTGCTTTGGAGAGCAGGTTGACCCCCCCCTTCTTTGGGGCAGCCCCTCCAATACTGGAAGATGCTATCACCTCACCCCCTCCTCCTCCTTTTCATGAAACTAGACATGCCCAGTTCCTGCAACCATTCTTCATGGGTTTTAGCCTCCATTGCCCTAATCCTCTTCTCTGCACGCCTTCTAAGGCCTCAGCATCTGAAGAACATCTTCATCCAAGCCCCCTTTACAGCCAATGGAACAGGCTGGCCACAGTCAACTCAAGCCCTCCCGCAGCCAGAGCAAATTCTGAAGAGTTTCAGATACCGAAGTAGACCTCATTCTTTGATTAGCAGCCTGACTCAGCTAACGTGGGACAAACAAGGGCAACCAGAGTGGTTTTGCAAAGGGTTTACTTAGCCCAGACAGGGGAGGGAGGGAGGCACCATCGGTGACCCTGAGAAACAGCTCCTGGTAGCATCACATGCACAGGCTACAAATAGCCGATGGGGCTGTTTCACTTTGAGAAAGTTTGCAGAAGGAACTGCACTCTGGATGCGACAGAGAGAGGTTGAAAAAGTCCCCAATAGATCATTTATCTTTAGAAAACTCCTGTCCCCGCTGAGGCCCCAAGAGCTGGTGCTGCAAACCCCAGTCTATACGTCGGATGAAAAGGCAGCTATTCTCCCTTTGGGAATTTCCTCAAGCAAAACACCCACTTTTGAAAGAGCAGCAAAAACACCGTGGAAAAGCCGGGCTCAGCAGGGAGGGCAAAAGTATAAGAGAGCAGACAACCTGCCCCCAAAACCTCCGTCCCCAAATGGCCTGGCAGAAGCTGCTTCTTCAAAAGAAAAGGTCTCTGGGGACCAGGAATCAGGAGGAATCTGCCGGCCCCTCTTCCGGCTCCAGAGGTTTTTAGTCAAAGGCCTCGGATTTTGTCAGCTGCAGCGGAATAGAAGGTGGGTGAAGCCGAAGAGGGGCTGCTAGACTCCCCACTGCAAACGGACACAGATTCACCCGTACAAGCAGAGCCGCCTTGAAAAGCCTTTCAGCTGACCCGAAAAAAGGCCCCCTGGTTACTACTTATACATACTACCCGTTGGGCTTCTTCGGCTGGGCACAGATCCACAGGATCGGGCCCCAGGCTTTGAAGTGGGCGGGGCTGGGTGCAGCCCAGGCCCCACTGAGGACCACAAACAAGCTGCGATGTGAAAGTTCACACAGGAAGTGGCAGATGGGAACCGGTAACCGCTGCGCTTGTGCCGGCTGTGTGCAAACCTTCCTTCACGGGGGCAGAGAATCCCAGAGGGAGCGCCTCCCCTCCAGCACCCCCAACTTCTGCCTCCCTCGCTATGGCTGGTCTACAGGAGAGAAGGACTCGGGGGGAGGAGGGGGACAGGAGAGCAGCCGTCCACTATCTGAAGGGCTGCCCCAAAGAAGAGGGGACTCTTCCCTCAGGTCCTCCAAAGCCCCCGAGGGCAGGACAAGACGCAAGGGCTGGAAACTCATCAAGGAAACATTCAGCCTAGAACTAAGGAGAAACTTCCTGACCCTGAGGACAATTAACCAGTGGAACAGAAGCTGCGGGGGCTCCATCCCTGGAGGCTTTCGAGAGGAGATGGGTCAGCCCCTCGTCCGGCATGGTCTAGGGTCTCCTGCTTGAGCAGGGGTAGGACTAGAAGACCTCCAAGGTCCCTTCCGACTCACAGTAGTTATTCAGTTCTCTCCCTGGCCTCACAGAAAAGAATGAACCACCATTGTAGGCCCTGCCCAAGCAGGAGCCCTTCTGCCATCCTGGACAAAGGGTTGCCCGATGGTTCCGCCTTAAAGGGAGAGAGTGATAACAAGAGAGTCACCGTGATTCCTTCTCTTACTCAGAGGGAAACCAAGCCAGCCTTCTGTTACGCAGCCGCTTTCCATCAGGCGGGTTTCCTGGCCTACCTCGAAGGGCTGGCGGCAATAACTGGTTGGATATTTCTGGGATAAAACCCTGTAAGGTGGAGCGACCTCCTGCTCCAAAGCCAGACTTACTCAGAGGAGATGGGTGGGTGTCTCTGGTCTCCTGCAGGGAGGCTGAGCTGCTGGGAAGCCAGGCTCTTCAGCCCTAGGGCTGGCTGGAAAGGGGCTTCGCTCACAGGGCTGGGGGTCGGGGGAAGGCTTTGCACAGGGTCAGGCAGACACCCTAACACCAGGGCTGCCCAACTTCCTTGTAAGACTTCAACTCCCTGCTGGCTAGGGGATTCTGGGAATTGAAGTCCACAAGTCTTAAAGTGGCCCCAAGGTTGGACACCTCTGACCTATTCGTGTTGGGACCCCAACACTCCCTCCCCTCTTCCCCAATTAAGCTCTAACCCCCCCCCACCCGCACCCAATAAAACCAGGGTCCAGGAGCCACAGGTGCAGAAAGCAATCAAGGCAAGCCAGGAAAACTGCCCCCTGGTGGCCCAGGACCATCCTTTCCCTCCAGCAGAATCAGCCCCCCTCCCCCCCAAAGGCAAGATTCGATTCCACAGCCGAATCCTCCCAGAGGCACTTCCTAGTAAGCAGCCCCCAGACACAGGCAGGAGACCAGAGGTCTGAAGGGCTTCCTGTACCTGACAGACACCAGTCCAAAGAACATGCCACGGATAAAGCTAAGCAGTGGGGCTCTTGGTCTTCTCTCAGCTTGGTGGGTTTCATTACCATATGAGGTGGCATCATCAGTGCTAGCTAGAGGATTGGTAATAAAAATATCTGCAAGAAAACCACCAGGCTCAGAGAAGACCAAGAACCTCCCAGTTGTTGTCCTTGTCCTCCTCCTCCCTTCCCCCCCTCCAGCAAACCCCTCTCCCTGCTAACACGGATGACGTTCCCTAGTTGGGTACTGAAACGCTGCACGAAAGCCACCCAGCTCAGAGAGCAGCAGGGACCCCCACGGGTCAACCCTGAGCTACAAATATTCTCTTCTGTTGGTAAAACTGGGCAGCATATGGTGCCAAAGTTCATTTGGGGATCTACACCCCCCATCCCTTCCACACCGGGCGACTAAACACACCCTCTGCCTTCTGAAAGGGAGCCTTGAACTCAGCTCTCCCCCTTCCCCGGCTCTTGCTTTCCGGAAGCCTCAGTCCCTCTTCTGCTCCGTTTTCTACAGGCAGGAAGAGCTGGAGAGCGGCAACCTTGGCTGAGGGCCTATTTGAAGGAACTCTCCCCCCTTCAGCGCCAGGCCGTTTCTTCCAAGGATAAATACCGCACCCTCCCCACTTGGGATGAGCTACGGATCCTGCCGGGCTCTTTGTGAAACTCGCAGCCTGGGATACCGACCTCGGATGCCTTTCCCCTCCAGCAGCTTCCCTCAACGAGTCTGAACAAAACCTGCTTCACCAGACCGGGCGTTGCAAACGCCTCTTCGCAGGAGGAGGCACAGAGCGACCGCCAAAACAGCCCCTCCCAACCAAAGGAGGCCCATGAACCTGCTGGCTACCTGGCTTCTACCTGGCACGGGGTCACTAGAGGTCAGGCAAAAGGACGCAGCCTTTTTGTCCTCACCTTTTGCATCCGGCAGGCGCAGCCTTAAAATCCAGCGCGTGTCAGAACTGCCACCTCGCAGGCCGGTGTGCCATGAACCCTGGAGGGAGGCTGGAAGGGGGGGGCCAAGGCTTGGGGGGAAAGTGAAACTGAAGCGGGAGCAGAGTTGTCTGTGGGAACTGATGGTCTCCAAGGTCATTTGCTGGGAGCGGAAATCCCCCCTCCCGACTTAAAAGAGGGACTGTTTGCAAAAACATCTCTCTTCAAACCGACTGGACAGTGAGAGGCAAACAATGGGAAGGGACTGAGGGGGGAGAGTTAACTGCTCGGCCACCTGGGAGCCCAAAGGAGAAGGCAGCGGGGGAGGCCGTTCTTACCTCGGGGCTGATGGCGTGCTTCTTGGTTAGCCGCCAGAGCAGGCAGGTCAGGAACATGTGTCCGATGGCCGAGACGATGAAGAGGCCGAAGGCAAATTGGTGGAAGGCTGCAGGGGAGACAAGGAGGAGGAGAGATGACTGTGTGGGGGAGGCAGGGAGACGGAAGAGGGAGGGGTGGGGGTGATGATGTGGGAGACAAGGACAGGAGTGGGGGGGAGAGACAGAGAGAGAATGAGGGGTGACAGTCAGGGCAGAAGAGAAGGGGAAGGGAGGGAGGGGGTGTGGCAGGGAGGGATGATATTTAGGAGGGAAGACAAGGGGGCAGGGGTGATGGTGAGGAGCGTGTAATGACTCCCCTGGATGTATCCCCGTTCTCTCTCCAGAGGTCAGCTTGGAGGAGGATGAACCAGTACCCGGCATGTCAGGAGGGGAGTCAGTCAATAGCTCCCAGCATCCGTCTGAGAGGGATTTGGCCGAAGCGCAGCTGGAGCTGGACAGCCCTGAAGTTTCAGGTGGGGAAAGCATGCAGGTAGAGCCGGTCAGCAATGAGGAAGAGGAACTGCCTTCTGCCTCTGATCCGAGAACACGCAGGGCAGAGAAGGTCAGCCAAGATGATTGCATTATCATTGTTCTTATCACCCATCTCCTCCCACTTATGATTGTATGACTGTAATTTTGTTGCTTGTATCCTTACGATTTATATTGATATTGTTTCCTGATTGCTTATTTGTACCCTTTGACTATCATTAAGTGTTGTGCCTTATGATTCTTGACGAACGTATCTTTTCTTTTATGTACACTGAGAGCGTATGCACCAAAGACAAATTCCTTGTGTGTCCAATCACACTTGGCCAATAAAAAATTCTATTCTATTCTATTACAGTCTGGTTTGGAAGCTTTACTGCCTCGGAGAGGAAGCAGGTGCAGAGAGTGGTAAGGATGGCAGAGAAGATTATTGGCAGTTCATGTCCATCTATCCAGGACATGGCATACAAGCGATGCTTGACCAGAGTCCGCAGGTGTGTCTGGGATGCTAGACATATCCTTTTCACAACCCATTTTCCTTGTTACCATCTGGGGGGAGGGCTTTGTGGTATCCGAAGCAGAAAACATCCAAATTCAGCACAGTTTTGTTCCATATAGCAACCTTTTGAACTCTCCTTTCAATATGCATTCAAGATGGACAGTGATTAATATGTATATGTATTTCTATGTGTGGATGTAGGTACACATACAGCACGTGTGTGTGTGATATGTATGGGAGCAGGCAATGAAATTTCATTTTTAACGGGTGTGCCAGTGTGAACAGAGTAAAAGATGACAATGAAGGTTATCTTATCTTGGACGTTGGCTATTGAGCACAGCAGGCGGATGGAGGCGATGCTGGGAACCAAGTGTTTGCTTCCTTGCTGTGCGTTCTTGCCTTGAACTTTGGGTCTCTTCAGCTGTTCCCTTTGCCTTTGCCTTGGGCGCTTGCTTTGGCCTCCCGGCCTGGCCTTGGCCTCGAGGACCAGGTTGGCTTCATCGAGTGGCCTGTGGACGTCATTAGGGTGGAGCTGGTGCCGGCACTGGAATTGCTGAGGAGCTCCCATTCGGGCTTGGAAGCCTTCAAGACTTGACCGGTGAGTGTGTGTGTGTGTGTGTGTGAGAGAGAGAGGGGGGGGCAGCACATAGGGATGACACTGAGGGGGGGGAGAGGTGATGGAGGGGGCAGATGAGAAGGGAGGGGGCAGGGAGAGGGGGAGGGTCGTGCCAGTGTATGGGGGGAGTATGTGTGTGTGTGTGAGAGAGAGAGAGAGAGAGAGAGGGAGGGGGGGATGAGACTGAGGGGGCAGGGAGAGTGTGGGGAGGAGGGGGGGTTGGAAGAGGGGATGGAAGGGAGGGGGGGGTTGGAAGAGGCTTACCGTGGTTCTCGGCGGAGGAGACGTAGGTGAGCAGGAGCAGCCCCAGGTTCTCGCTCAGGCTCAGGGCCAGGACGGCGTGGCAGAGGCGGGAGTGGCGCGGCTGCGGGTAGGGGCAGCCCCGGTAGTGGCGCCAGTAGGCCGAGGCCACCAGCAGCCGCGGCGCCGAGTGGAGGGCGATGCAGAGGCGCCAGACGTAGCGCTCGGGCGTGGAGGCCCCGATGGCGGCGCTCAGCGACGGCAGGTAGTTGGGCACCTGGAAGGGGGGGGAGGGGGGGAGGGGGGAGGTCAGCGGGGGGGGGGGGGACTCGGGGGCTCCCCTCCCCCACTCCCCTCCCCCTCCTCCCCCGGGGACTTACGCCGCAGTGGGTGTACGTGGCCTCCGGGAAGTGGAAGAGCAGCGCCCAGGCCAGGCAGAAGAGGAAGCCGCCCAGCGGACAGCAGACCGTCCCCACCGCCAGCGTGGTGAAGCGCACCCGCAGCAGCGCCCCGTCCCGCTCGCGATCCAGCGGCAGCGCCACCTGCAACATCCCGAGCCTCACCTGCGCCGCGCTACGCCCGGGGAGGCCGGGAAGCGTAGTTCCGAGGCGCCGCCCCCGGCTGCTATGGAGACGCACCACACCCGCTTAGGCTCCGCCCGCTTCCACGGCACGCTCTGCGACGTCGCCCCGCCCCGCCCCAGCAACAGAGCTCTCGGCTCCCCGGCCAATCGAAGCGTCCCAGTGCGCTCTGGGGCGACGGACGTCGGGAGGGACGGCGCGGCGGATTGGAGACGGGACGACGTTTGGGGCGGGTTTAGGACCCGGCCAATAGAAAGCCGGCGCGAGGCGCCGACGTCACGGGAATGGGGCGCCAATGGGAAAAGGCAGGGCGGGGCGGCCAATCGGAAGCCTCGCCGCCCTGACGTCCCGCGCGGAAGAGCGTCGAGCGTGCGTGTATGACGCAGTTTCGCCGCTGCCGCTTCCTCCCCCCCCCGTCGCGACCCCTCGAGCGGCTGAGGCGGGTATCGTGGGAGGCGGAGCCGCCGCCGCCGTCCGGCTCTCCGTCGCAAGAGACGCCGCTGCGAGCGAGCGCTAGGCCGGGCCGCGGGCCCAACGCCGCCCTTCCCGTCTCCCTCGTCGGGAGGCCCAGCCCGGAGGAGAAGAAGCGGTGAGGGGGGGAGGGGCCCGGGGTCTTCGTGGGGGGGGAAGGAGGGGCCGCGCGGCTCTCCGGCGGGGTGGGGGGAGGGCGAGTGGGCGGGGCCGTCACGTGGCGGGCGGGGGGGGCGGCCGAGGGGAGCGCACGGGCGGCGGGGGGGGGGGGGGCGGCGGGGGGGCCGGGGCCCGGGGGGGGGGGGGGGGGGGGGGGGGGGCGGCCCGTCCTGGCTCGTTCACGTGAGCGGCGAGGGAGCCGCGGCTGCCTTCAGGGGCGCCAGGACCGTCCCCGCCTGCCACGGCCAAGCGTTCCCCGGGTGCCAAAGGAAGGCTGGGGCAGGAGCGTTGGGGAAAGCGGGCAGAAGGAAACGTTTATGGGTTTGTTTTGAACCAGGGAGTTGAACGGAGGAATTGCCTGGCGGTGAGTTGTGCCGGTCCCCGCCCCGCCCCCACCCCCAGTGGAGCTGGCCGGGAGAATTCCCCGGGAAGGGAGCCGGACGCCGAGCAGACCTGCGCTGGACGTGGTTTCCGGGCAGCTCCGCTGCTTGGAAGGCGGAGGAGGCGGGAGAGGAATCCCCGGAGCCTCCACGGAGCTTCTCTGGTGGTCCCGAAGGTGCTTTTTCCAAAAGGCAACTGGGCTCTGTTTTCCCTTGAAGACGTTTCCCTTCTCGCCCCAGAAGCTCCTTCGCTTCTGACTGGGATGGTGCAGGATGGAAGGATTTATAGTCCTTGCAGCCCTCTGGGCGTGGACCCTCTCTCCCAGAGCCTCCAAGGCCACTTGGAGGGTTATCCGCGCTCTCGGGGTCACCCGAATCAAAGTGCAAATGGGTGTGGAACCTTCTTGGAGCTGCTGAGAGGGCTGGGTTGTAAACAGGAGGTAAGTGGTGTCTGTCCCTTCTCCTCTGTGGAGGGAGAGGATATGGCCTCTTTGAAACCCTGGAAAGGTGACCCTGAGGACACGGATGAACCTCCAAGTGGCCTCAAGGACCCTCAGAAAGAATGCTAACGACCAGATGACTGCAAGAATTATAAATCCTTCCATCCTCCACCCTTCAGTCAGAACTGAATGAAGATTGTTGGATGAGAAGCGAAACCTCTTAAAGGAAAAACAAAGTCCAGTTGCCTCTTGAAAAAGCACCTTATGTAGACAGCAGAGTCTACATTCATCAACAGTTGGTTGGTCAACTCGGGACACAGCTGGAGAGCTTCAAGCAATGCGTGTGGACATGGGTTGGTTCATATGTCATGCTGGCAGATGAAGCTGAGAATTCTTTTAGCTAGACTAGGAGTTTCTTTATTAAATTGTAAGCCACAATTTGGTGGCTTACAAGGTTAAAAGCAATAAAACTATAGAAATACATTCATTCATACATACACACACACTATATGTGTGTGTGTGTTTGTATATAGATATATATGCAATAAAAATATAAATTATGATTAAAATTACGGTAAAAAGATAGGGAAAGAGAAAACAGGGTGTGCAAAGGGTGAGGTGAGATGTGCTATTGGTCCATTAACCACCTCCAGCATGGTACTCCCCATTGGGGCCCGAAACCAACTGTTAGAGGGATGTCATCAGGCCCTTATGGAAGGTCAGAAGCGTGGGAGCAGATCTCACCCCAGGTGGGGGTAAGATGCTTTAAAGCAGCAACTCCCCTCCCCCCCACCTTTTGGGCATCAGGGACCAGTTCCGTGGAGAGAAGTTTTTCCGTGAACCAGAGGGGGTGTGGTTTCACATGCCTGCATCCCGTGGATGGGGCTTCACTTTTGCAAGGGCAGTTTCTGGCATGCTGCAGACTGGTGTCGGTCACGGGGGGTGGGGGGTTGGGGACCCCTGTTCCACAGGCCAGGAGTTGATGTGAGTGCAACCAAGATGACTTGAAAAAGTTTTTCTTCAGTTTTATTGTGGTTTCCTTTCAGTGTAATTAAAGAAATTGGAATTGATAGAAGATAATATTTGTAGGTCAGGGTTGAATGGTGCATTCCTTGGTGCTCTCTGAGCTTGGTGGTTTTCTTGCAGATGTTTCAGAACCCAACTAGGGAACATCATCAGTGCCAAGGTCAGTGCGTTGTTTATGTTATCTAGTTGGGCAATGAAACCCTGCAAGAAAACGCCCAAGCTCAGAGAGCACCAAGGACCCTTCAAACTCTGGAATCAAAAGCTCAAAATATTGATTCTCTATTAGAGAATACCATTAACAACTTTCTTTGCTTGGAAATGAAGATTCTTACCAGGCAATGATAAGAAAATAGAGATTGTTTTAGAGGTGATTCTGTGGCCTTAAATAATTCAAAAGTTGAGCCAGGTGGCTAAGCATACTCAAACTAAGCTTTTCCTGCAATGATAGTCAAGGACATGCATATAAATAGCAAAAAGTTTTATCAGCCATGTTTGGATTTTGCAGTAAAGAGTTTTGTTACATTTTATAGAGTAGCAAATTACGATTTCATTAACCAGAGCTCCTGAAGCTGTGCATTTTAACCCTCTTGGGATCATGAGCAGCTTGAGAGAAGGGGTCACTTCACTTTTTAAAAATACCTGTCATAGTGGTAGAGCTTGAATTTATGAGTATTGATAAACTTTATGAATTAGTTTTTCACCTGCTTTTTAAACAGAAGTTCAAAAGTTTATGAATTGCCAATAATATAGTCTTTAACGTGTAATAAAACATTTAGAAATTAATTTATATTCCCATAGCTAGTTGATTCACAAAATGTTTATCCTTTAAGTACATCAGTAAAAGACTTATAATTTGCTTGGATTAAAAACAATGTACAGTATATTGTGGGTTTGTTTATATCCACCTTTATTATTTTTATAAATAAGACAGGGAACATATCCATTACGCCTTCCTCCTCCTATTTTTCTCATAACAACAATCCTGTGAGGTAGGTTGGGCTGAGAGGAATTGACTGCTCAAAGTCCACAGCCAGCTTTCATGCCTAACGTGGGACGAGAACTCACCGTCTCCTGGGCTCTAGGCTGGTGCCTTAACCACTAAGTCAACTTCTGATGTAACTAAACTGAACAAAACAACTTATTTCTGCAGGGTATAGCACTTTAATTTTGCTATAGGTTTATATGCCATACCACTTGTTAATCAGTTAATAATCTTATATAAATAAAATAAAAAGGGGGTAGAAAGGCAACTGTAGCAATTCTGGGATAAATTTTCCTATTCCAAGAAATAGTCATAGCCTGTGTACAGGAGGAATTGTAAATCATCCCTTCTCAGAGATGCTGTAATAATCCGGTTTTAATCACTTTCCTAAATTGCATTAATTTTGGGGCAAATCAAATTGACCCTTGCTAATCATCAGCAAACTCTTACTAGGTGTCAACAGCCGGTTGGAGTTGAATTCTTTGGATTTGCCTGTGCTGAGACTAAAACAGAAGCCGGCATTTCCATGCTGTAATTGGACCAGTTAAAATTTTCTTTCTAAAGGAAACTAGGAGAACCAGAAGCTTCCAGTTTATTCTGTGTAGAAAGCCTGGGTATAAAATAAGTTCAGCTGCTTCTGCTTGGTTGATGGGCTAATCTGAGCTGGGAAGAATCAGGCCCAGTCTGCTCCATTTTGCCTTATCAAGGCATTTTCTAGTAGCATCTGGGTGGCCCCACCGTGCATGAGGAGGTCTTTCAAATATGATTGGCTGAGATTTGGGAGAAGCATTGTGAATGGCAGGGGAAGGTTGACAGCACTAATAAAAATGAGACATACAGCTGCTTGCATCATCATACGATAGAATACTTTACAATGTAAGAGATTGGCTTGTAGGTCTCTTTCCGTCTTGAGTCTGGAAGAGAAGTTTTTGTGACATTCTGGAAATACTTTTGCCCTAAAGAGATTGTGTATGTCATCTCATAATGATAGTGTATGTCATTTCTTTATTAATGTAATACTCGGGATTGGTCACCACGATCAGAGGTTTAGTCTTCCCAGCTTTCAGACTCATGCTGGAGTCCATTCTCAGAGAACTTCTCCTCTAACAGAGGGTGTGCTTTGGACTCTTCTGTCTGGGGTGTCTATATGGTGCCTGTTGTGTGTGGCTTTTAGATGTTGATTGGGGTGTTGGTGGCTGGCTTTTAAGTTGTTGGCTGGTGTTTCCTTGTACTTCCAAGCTCTCCCCTCCTAAATATTTGACAAGCTGGTGGTAAATCAGCACTCCTGTTCACTGGGGAGGGGCATTTCCCAGGCTTCAGTCAGCTGTCTTTGTGCCTGCTCATCCAATAATCTTAGTGGCTCCAAAATTGGACGTATATCCTTGTTCATTGCAATGTGAGGCTTCCAATTTAATGCTTGTGTGTTATAATAATTCCTTTTATTTTTAATAATAGTACCCTATGATCATGATTTCCAAGACCCTCAGCAGTCTGTTATTTTATGCTTTCATGAATCTGAGCCAGTTTTGTCCTCTCAAATAGCATTTTTCTCTTATATTTTAAGATGTCCAACATTTTTTTTTCATCCAGCTTGCTTCACGTGTATTCATGATATTAAACCATCATTTTCTTACGTGGCCCAATTTTCTGAGTTCAAAAGTTACATTGAAATATAAACTAACCAGTTAGTTAGTAAGATACGTATCAGAATGGAGAAGATGGATTGATTATATTCAAGGAGCCTGGTTTAGCTCAACAGACAGAAGCACTGTAATTTAACACCAGCTGTCTGCAATTAAAGTAAGATCGAATCTCGCCAGGCTCAAGGTTGACTCAGCCTTCCATCCTTTCTAAGGTAGGTAAATTGAGGACCCGGTTTGTGGGGGCAATAAGCTGACTTCGTATAAATATACAAAAGTATGAAGGCTATTGCTTAACGCACTGTAAGCCGCCCTGAGTCTCCAGAGAAGGGTGGCATATAAATCAAATTAAAAAAAAAAAATAAGTATCAGACAAGGAAATATCAAATAGCTTATGAATGAACGTTAAGTATTAGAAGTATTATGTTATCTATAGTGGAGTTAAGGTTTCGGGGGGGATTTAGTAGTCTGAGGATAGATAGGTTAATTTAGCTTATGATTGTTAATTGAAATACCTTGTATTTTGTTCTGGGAAGTCTGGGGGGCAGGGTGGGATGAGGGGAGGGAAAGGGTGGGGGGAATATTGGGGGGGGGAAATCCTTTTTTTTCTGTAAAACTTTTCTATATATATATATATGAAATATAAACTAACCAGGTAGCCAGGGTTTCCACAGTGCCCACTCAGTTGAAATGGGATCAGCTCATAATGGGATCAGCTCATAACTCTCTATGGCCATTGATGGCAAGATGACCAGTTAGTAATTTGCTAGTTTATTGATTTCTGGGGAAAAAAACAACTTGAGTTTGTCTAAAGTTTTTATTTCTTCTTTTTTAGGTTTTGAGACATTGAAATAACTTCAACATGTTTAATAAATCTTTTGGAACGCCTTTTGGCGGCAACACAGGGGGATTTGGGACAACTTCGACTTTTGGACAGAGTAAGTGACTGAGAACGGAGGGATGTTTTGGCCCAGATGGGTAATTCCAGGCGGAAATCTTTTACCTCCTCGGATGCTCTTATCTTTGAATGATGATTTGAGGTTTTAATTCTGTGTTTACCCATCTCTCTGATGGAAATGCTTAAACAACATACTTTAAATCTTAATAGTATGTTATCCTTATGAACTACATAGAGAATAATATTATTATGCAGTCTTACATAGAATGTAGAACATTTTCTTTACGGGTGGTCCTCAATTTACAACAGTTTGTTTAATGACCGTTTAAACTTACAACAGCACTGAAAAAAGTCCCTAATGCCCATTTTTTCACACTTACAACCGTTGATGAATGGTCCCATGGTCACCTGATCAAAGTTTGGGTGTTTGGCAACTGGTTCATATTTTATGACGGTCGCCGTGTCCCGGGGTCACGTGATCTCCTTTTGTGACCTTCTGGCAAGCAAAGTCAGCGGGGAAGCCAGATTCGCTTAACAACTATCTTGCTATCTTAACAACTGCAGTGATTCACTTAACAATTGTGGCATGGAAGGTGGTAGAACGGGACAAAGCTCATTTCACAACTGTCTTAACAAAGAAAGTTTTGGGCTCAGTTGAGGTCGTAAGTTGAGGACTATTTGTATAACATGAATATGGATGCGATGGAACTGAGTTAAAAGCTTTTTATTTAACCTTCTCTATTTTTTAAATGTGGTAAGCCCTCCAAAAGTTTGTCCTTCAAATGCACTTTTTAATGATCACATAATTATCACTGGAGCCTCAGTGTTCAGAAAGATGGGCTTGCAAACCCACCATCTACTATTTTTTTAAAAACTTGCACTCTGGCCTGAAAGTGGTTTCTGCTTTCTGCCGCTCAGGCGTGGCCATGACAGCAGCTGAACTTCAATCCTTTTGTACCCCTCCCTTCCCCTCCCCTCCCCAATGCCCCCCCCCCTTTCTGCTTTGCAGATACTGGCTTTGGGGCAACCAGCGGAGGAGCCTTTGGGACGTCTGCCTTCGGATCCAATAACAATGCCGGAGGACTCTTTGGTAGCACTCAGACCAAGCCAGGTACACAGATTTCTATCCTCTACCCCCCCTCCTCTGCCTTTTGTGCCCCTCCCCCCACGTCCCCCTTCTCCTCTCGGGTGCCTGATCAGAGGGCTTCTTTTTGGTTGCAGGAGGGCTCTTTGGGGCAAGTACTTTCAGCCAGCCAGCCACGTCATCCACTAGTACCGGTTTTGGTTTCGGCACGTCAACTGGAACTTCCAGCGGCCTGTTCGGGACCGCAAGCACAGGGGGAGGCCTCTTCTCCACCCAGAGCAATGCCTTCGCCCAGAACAAGCCGGTGGGGTTTGGCAGTGAGTATGGTCGTCTCTCTAAAGGAGCTTGGAAATGCCGTCTGCAGGGGGCCATTTCTGCTTTGTAGCACTGAGCAAAAGAGGCCTCTCTTCCAAATCCTGAAAAACACTCCTAAGCACCTTTGAGGGAGCAGTCTTGGGTACTGTTGAGAAAGTGAGGTTTGTAAGGTTCACAGAGCTTGTGTCAGGCACAAGGAACCAACACCAACACCCTGAGCTGATCAGAGAAGGTGGGGTTTTTTTATTGCTGGTCTCCTATTTGCAAGAATCTCGCCCGACTAGCGCCACTCCCTTGGAAACAACCAGATGAAGGCTCTTGAGGATTTTAGGGTTAACCAGTCTCTTCACACACACACAAACACACACACACACACACACACACACACACACACATACTCCACTCTGGCTGCAGATGCCACCACATCCCGATTGCAAACTCAGCTTTCCAACGCTAGTAAAATAAAAATAGGTGAACCAGGGCATAAACGGAAGAACCTGTTTGGTCAAGGAGTCAGAATCAGTGCGGTTAGAAATATAAATCGAAATATTGTAAAAGATCCTATCCTTTTCCCTTCCCACTTTTGATCCCCATTACGAGGGAGGTTCAGCCTCCTGCTGAATTCTCTGTCCCTTTAATTCTGCTTGTGCTCTTTTGGCCAGCAGGTGCAGAAAGGACTCTGTTCAATCAGTCAGAGAACTTGACCTTGAGCAAATGCATAAGTAGTCCTGCAAGACAAATAATAATAATAATAACCTCACAACTGGTTTTTAAGGCCAGCTTTCGTGGAGCTCTGTCAACAGGGACACAGCTTTTCTGTCAAAGTTTTGATTAAGTACAAGCTGAAGCCTCAGCCTTGTTCATGCGCTGAAGTCTTTTCCCATTCTTTCAGCTTAAATGTGGTATTTTCACGGAGTTCATAGTGATGCAAAGTGACTTGGGCTTGAAAAAGATACATTGATAACCTTATTAATCAGGAAGGATTTATTTATCGCATTTAGAAACTGCCCACTTGCCTCTCAGAGGGACTCTGGGGAGTGTATAGATCAATGATGGCTAACCTTTTTGCCATCGCGTGCCAAAAGCGTGGGGAGCGTGGGGGGTTGCGTGCGTGCGTGCCCACACCCATAATTCAATGACACCCTGCACCCCCATGCATGCGCATGCAACCCCCTTAATGGTGGGTTCAATAGGCCCAGTAGGCCCATTATTTGCCCTCCCCAGGCTCCAGAGGCTTTCTTGGAGCCTGGGGAGGGTGAAAACAGCCTTCCCCACCCCCCACCCCAGAGGTCCTCTGGAAGCCGGAAACAGCCCATTTCCTGACTTCCAGTGGGCCTGGAAGGCCCAAAAATCAGTTGGCCAGTGCGCACATGCGTGCTAGACCTGAGCTAGGGCAACGCTCACGTGCCCACAGATATGGCTCCACGTGCCACCTGTGGCACCCGTGCCATAGGTTCACCATCACGGGTATAGATCAAATGCTAAAAGCATAAAAACCAAATATGGAAATTTAAAGTAGGAGCAAGAATAGTTAAAATTTGATATTAAAAGTTAGCTAAATAGTGAGGAGAGGGACTTTTAGGGCATTAACCAGCCCGATATCTGTGCTCTCCTAATATTCTGCTAAAACTCTTGGAGGATTTTATTCATTCATTCATTCATTCATTCATTTATTTGATTTTAGGATTTACAGTTGTTTACAGCTGCCCCCTGTCAATCAGAATGCTGCTTCCCAGAGATAGATTGGATAGATTGAAGGAAGGGGTAGGTCAGCCCTTGTGCAAAGAATCCGTTCAGACCTCTGCTGAGAGCCACTGATCCTTCCCTGCAGTTTGGGTGGGACAAAGAGTCAGCAAGAGGAGGAATAAAACAGCCCCTCTTTCCCTTCTCCACCCTGTTCCCTTTGAGCCCCCCAAAACTCAGGGTTTCTACATCCTCTAAGGAGACTTTTTGGAAGGCAGAATTCCCTGCTGGATGATGGAATTCTTAGCAAAAATGGAATCTACTGGGTGGAACCATTTTTTTCCACCGACTTCCTGCAGAGGACAGAAAAGGTGGCCCTCCTCTCTCCCTGTGTCCTTGCTTCCCCCCACCCCACCCAGGAAAGACAAATGGGCTGGGAAATTGCCCCCATCCCTGAACAAAAGACCCTGGCCTCTCTTTTAATCTCTGGTTGTGGGTGGAAAGGAGTGCTTATTCATACCTGCCCAGGTGATCCATGACCCAGTTCTCCTTGATTTGAAATGTTGTATAAGTTCTTTCTCTTTTCTATCAGGTATTCATTGTGTATTTTTTTAAAAAAAGATTTAGTTTTATCTGTGACACATTTGGACAGGGCTTTTATTTATTTTAATTTTTTTTTACAGATTTTGGGACAAGCACCAGCAGTGGAGGATTGTTTGGCACCACTAACACAGCCTCCAATCCATTTGGGGGCACATCTGGCTCCCTTTTTGGGGCTACAAGCTTTTCCACCGTCCCTACTGGCACCACGATTAAATTCAATGTAAGTCCTGTTCACATGCACTTTTAATGAATTTCAGCTTTCCTACCAGACTCCCTGTCCTCCTTGATCCCATTCACTGCCATCGATAAGAGAACAAGAAGACTTCATATTTATCACGATCCCCTCTCAGACATCTGTCCTTCATATGGGCCAGCATAACAATATTTAATTTATGGTTAGAAAGTTCTTGTCAAGATGTCTTTCAGGAAGTATGCTGGGGAATCTGGATTAATTTTGCTGCTCTGGAAAACCCGATACTGAATGTTGTCAATGGTTCTATTTGTGTGTAAATTATTTGAAGAAGGGAGACCGAGAATAACAGCTGTGCTTCTCATTGTGGGATCCTTGGTGATCTCTGAGCTTGGTGGTTTTCTTCCAGGCGTTTCATGACCCTATTAGGGAACCTCATCAGTGCTGGAAGTGGGTGGGTTTTGTGGAGTGGAGGAGAAAGACTGTGGGGTCCTTGGTGCTCTCTGAGCTTGGTGGTTTTCTTCCAGGCGTTTCATGACCCAACTAGGTAACGTCAGTGGAGGAAGTGTGGGGTTTGATGTCTGTTTATATACTAGTGGCTTATCCTATTAGTGTTGGGAGTTTTTCAGTGGTTCCTTAATTGGGATGTTGTTTGCTGCTTGATTGTTGGTCTAGTACAGGGGTGGGCAATTGTGGCTCTTTTACAACCTGTAGACTTCAACTCCCAAAATTCCTGAGGCAGCCAAGACCAATACCCTGGTCTAGTATTAATGTAGATCTCTGCTTAGTTGGGTGTTGATTGCTGGCGAGGAGGCAAGCCACTGTATATAAACAAACCTCACTCCTTTCTAGAACTGATGATGTTACCTAGTTAGGTCATGAAACATCTGCAAGAAAGCCACCAAACTCAGAGAGCACAAAGGACCCCACAGTTCAACCCTGAGCTACAGATATTCTCTTCAACTGATGCTGCTCATCTCTTGAGGAATGGCACTATGACAAAGTGTTCTTCACGTATAGAAACTCTCACATCAAACCTCAAACCAGGGCAGGATGAGAGGCAGTTCTCTGAATAGGACCTTGGAAAGCTGGTGCCGGCCAGTGCCTATTGCCCTGAGTCCAGTGCACCCCCCCCCCCATTCTGCCTTGGCCTCTGGTGAGAAAGAGGAAGTGGGGAGGTGGTGCTTCATCGGCATTGCTTTAGGTAGGGCAGAGGCCCCTTTAAGGGGTGGATGGAATCGCCATTCTTGAGGGTTCTGTAGCAGTTGATGAAGTGGAAGATGGCGAGATCGGCTAAACGGGGGGTCTTGGGCCTCTGCAGAGGGGGGAGGTGGAGCTTTCCTGCTCACATTCCATCTGAAAGGGCAGCAGCAGCAGACAGAGGCAGAACCATGAAGGCTGCCTTCCAGGTAGGAAAAGCAGAACTCAGAGCAGAGCGTAGGCAAGGAGAGGGTGGACCTACCCTGCCGAGCAAGGCAAGGGGCATCCAGAGGGCAAATTCAGTGACCCTCAGAAAGGCAACCTAGGCGTGCAGGCTGACTGGTACCCTAGCAGGATTTCCTGGGTCTCGGATCAAGAGCCTTCAGCCCTTGGAAGCCCACAAAGCACCACCAGTACGTGGCTCCTTCCAGGACTTGCATTTTCGGTGAGTGCCTTCGTCGTTTCTCTTCCAGGCACCAAACGGTACGGACACCATGGTCAAGTCTGGTGTCAGCACCAACATCAGCACCAAGCATCAGTGCATCACCGCTATGAAGGAGTATGAAAGCAAATCACTCGAGGTCAGTGTGGGCTGGAGGCCTCGGGTGGTCACAGAGAAGAGGAGGGGGGAGGGGCCAGCCTCTTCTCCAAAGCACCAGAAGGCAGGACGAGTAGCCACGGACGGAAGCTAAATCCAGGAGACAAGCAACCTAGAACTCGGGAGGAATTTCCCGACAGTGAGAACAATTAGTCAGTGGAATGACTTGCCTCCAGGGGTTCTGGGAGCTCCATCGCTGGAGATTTTCCAGGAGAGACTGGACAGCCACTTGTCTGGAATGGTAGAGGGGGTCCTGCCTGAGCAGAGGGTTGGATTGAAGGCCTCCAGCCCCTGTGATTCTATGATCCACCCATCTTAAATCGGGGGAATTCTGGGAGGCCAAATCTAGAAATAGGGAAGAATTTCCTCGAGAACAATTAACCAGGGGAATGGCTTGCCTTTAGAGCACGGGTGTCAAACTCGCGGTGTCACGTTGCCATCACGTGACGCTTCGTGGCTTTTCTCCCCTTGGTGGAGCTGGGGTGGGCGTGGCCTGCGCATGACGCATCCGGCCCGCAGGCTGCCAGATTGACACTTCTGCTGTAGAAGTTCTGGGTGCTCCATCACTGGAGGTTTTCAAGAAGAAATTTGGCAGCCATTTGTCTGAAATGTTATAGGGTCTCTTGCTCAAGCAGGGGGTTGGACTAGAAGACCTCCAAGGTCCCTTCCAACTCTGGTCTTCTGTATTCTCCTTGAATAAAGCCCAGTTGGAGGGATTCACACAACTCTTCAGTCCCGTTCTAGCTTAGCTGCCCCTCGCTGAGTGTCGGAACAGCCACATGGGGTTGGGAGCCCTTCCCTTTGAGAGCAGCGTCCCCTCCTCCTTTCCAGAACCCCCCCACTCCTCGTGCATTCAAAGGCTGCCTCTCCTACTTTTGGAAAGTCCGAGTCTGGGGAAAGTGCCCCTCTCTGTGCTCATTCAATGTTTCTCCTTCAGGAGCTCCGTTTGGAAGACTACCAGGCCAACAGGAAAGGCCCCACCAACCCAGTGGGAGCTGGAGCCACGCCAGGCTTATTTGGATCGTCAACCGCTACGTCCAGCGCGGCCACAGGACTCTTCGGCTCCTCCACCACCAACACAGGATTTTCGTACGGGGCAAGTAAGACAGCCTTTGGAACCAGTAAGTATCCATGGACTGGTCTTGCTGTAGCCAAGCTAGTTAAAAAAACACTATCAACTTTAGTGAGCTGTTGCCAGGGTCTTTGGTCTGATGGGTTTCCCAACCTTGGCCACTTCCAGACGGTGGACTTCAACTCCCAGAATTGGGAATTCTGGGAGTTGAAGTCCACCCGTCTTAAAGTGCAAAGTTAGGGAATCCTTCCCTACGTGAAGTGTATCCGTCTATCACTGTATTGATAGTGTGTCATCCCAAACCACCAGATAATTTATTCCAGCAGCTTCAGGCAGAGTTTAAAAAGCAAAGGGGAGAACAACCCAGTGGCGCTGCCGTTTGAAGCCCCACACCCTCTGGGTGCTTCGAACTCAGAGCTGGTTCCAGGAGAGGATTGTAAAAAGTAAGAGACGTCGTCTCTTTGTTGCAGGTACCACTGGTTTTGGGACAGGAACCGGAAGTCTCTTTGGTTCGAATCAGCCGACACCCAGCCTCTTCAATAAACCTTTTGGTCAGCCCACCACCGCCCAGAACACGGGTTTTTCGTTCACCAACACCAGCACCCTTGGACAGCCCAACACGAACACGATGGTAAGGAGGAGGGTCACGTTCTGGAAAGCTCTTAAGTGTGGAATGATGACTTCTCGCTTCAGACACGCCTTTCTGGGACACTCCCGGCTGTCACATCTTTTATTGAACTCTTGAGAAGTAGTTCAGACCTTCACGTTTGCCCTCAGTCACGGGATAGCTCATAGGGGACCGATAGACGAGAATATTTGTAGCTCAGGTTGAATTTTGGGGGTGCTCTCTGAGCTTGGTATTTTTCTTGCAGACGTTTCATGACCCAGCTAGGGAACTTCATCAGTATTAACGATGTTCCCTAGCTGGGTTATAAAACGTCTTCAAGAAAACCTCAAACTCAGCATTGCACCCCACAGTCGTCATCCTTTAGTCTCCACAATGCCCGTCCCTCCTAGCACTGATGATGTTCCCTAGTTGGGTCCTGAAACATCTGCAAGAAAACCACCAAGCTCAGAGAGCACCGAGGAGGACCCCCCCAAATTCAACCCTGAGCCCATTTCATTTGTCTGAAATGGTAAAAAGTCTCCTGCTTAAGCAGGGAGTTGGACTAGAAGACCTCCGAGATCCCTCCCAACTCTGTTATTCCATAAATCCTTCTTGAGTTTAGCTTCTGCCCAGTTCAGCTGAATCGGCTCAAGCCCCAGCAGAGTTGGTTCCTGTGGAGGCTTTTCCTGGTCTCTCTTGCCTGCTCTTGGATCCTTTGCCAAAGGTCTCTGTCTCAACGTTGCCTGTCCTTCCCAGGGCTTGTTTGGAGCTGCCCAGCCCACCCAGACCGGAAGCATTTTTGGCACAGCAGCCAATACCAACACAGCAGCTGCGTTTGGAACAGGAACCGGACTCTTTGGGCAGCCCAACACCGGGTTTGGTGTTGGTGGCTCGGTATGTGGATTGATCTTTTAGTTTCCTGGAAGCTGCGGTTCTCAGGCAAAAAACTTATTTAGTTCCAAGTAGGGTCACCTGTAAAAGTGATCCAGGTTAGCCAAAGAACCTCCCATCAGCTTTAATGGCAGGAGGTGTCCTTGTCTGCAATTCCCTTGCGAATTTTAAGAAGCAGCGGTAAATAAATGAGGATTAGATTCCCAGCTACAACAAGACTGCCCATTCCCCCTGCATTGCTTTCCCTGTGAGCAAAGGGCACTTTCTCTTGGGACCTGTGCCTACTACGCTAGCCCAAAACTAGATCTCATCTCTTCCTTCCTCTAGGGAGTTTTTGGGCAGAAGGAAAGGGCAGCCAGTGTCTGGCCTGGCAGCCGTCCTGCAGGAAAGAGCAATTTTTTGCCTTCTTTCCAGATCGCTTGTTGTGTCCACAAATTGCAAAAAAGAGATGCTCTTTCTGGGTGCCTGCATTTGTAAAAATTACACAATGGTCTTGTTTTTGTTTTCAGTCTCTCTTTAGTAACAAGCCTGCTGGCTTTGGCACCACAACCACCAGCGCACCCTCGTTCGGGACAACGACAACTGGACTTTTCGGTAAGCAACGAAACAGTGTTCTCTGGAGGTGTTTCGGTCTGTTGTGTGTTTCGCCAGCTGGAACACAGAGGCAGAATTGGAGGGAAGCAGGGATGGGCAACTATGACAACTTTCCAAGCTGCGGGCTCCAATGCCCAGAATTCTGGGAGTTGAAGTCCACAAGTCTTAAAGTTGTCATAGTTGCCCACCCTTGAACTGAAGAGTCCCCAGTCACCAAGGATCATCTGATCTGGAATTTTAGGCAGGATTTTTGCCTTTATGACTGTGTGTCGAGAATAGTGGCCGTGGCTCTGATCAGGAATCATCTTTTCCCAATCTGGGTGGGTGAGTTTATTTAATCTCCTCACCGCTTGTAGGCTAAGAGTTTTGGCAGGTATATATCGATACACAAGGCACTCCTCGACTTGAAACAGTTCGTTTAGTGATCGAAGTTACAACGCCACTGAAATAAGTGACTTACGAACTTAACGACCCTTGTAGCCCCTCAGTGGTCACATGATGAAAATTCGGACGCTTGGCAACTGGCTCGTGTTTATGAAAAGTTGCAGGATCCTGGGATCACGTGATCCCCTTTTGTGTCCTGTGAACAACTGTGTAACTAACTGAACAACTGCAGGGATTCACTTAATAACTATGGCAAGAAAAGTCGTAAAATGGGCAAAACTCACTTAACAACTGTCTCTCTTTGCAACAAATTTTGCATGGTAGGGCTCTGCACTACCGTGTTTCCCTGAAAAGAAGACCCTGCCCTATATTTTTTTGTACCCTGAAATAAGCGCTTGGCCTTACTGCCATGTGCTCAAAAGCCCGATTGGGCTTATTATCAGGGGATGTATTATTTTGGGGGAAACAGGGTAGGAAGGGTGAGCAGACTGTTGGGCCACTTGCAGCTCTCTTCATTTGTATGTCTGGAGTCAAGGTTCCTGAAACTGGACCTGAGAGTCAGCAAAAAGGGCCGCCGGCCCCTCCAGCAGCCGAATCAGAGGAGAAGGAGGAGGGGTGGGAGTCAGGGTCAGCATCCAGGCAACCTGGGAGGGGGAAGAGGGAATGGAGCTGGCAGAGGCAGAGGCAGAACCTGGGCTGCCTCTCAGCCCTCCGATGGAGAGTCAACAGCCCCCAGGAGGTCTGGAGGTGGCTGATGAGGAAGAGGAGGAACAGCTGCGTCCAGTGCCTGACACCCGGATGCGCAGAAGGCAGAGGAGAGGAGAGCAGTGGAAATCTATGGGCCGGTCCTTGGGACGGAAGAGCCACCACTGCTAGCGAAGCCCCACCCTACCTCGGGGGATAAAAGGCAGGGGGCGGAGATGAATAGGTGTGGCAGACAACTATTCATCTCCCTGCCAGACAGACTTGTTAGCCTGCTGAGAGGGAGAAAGAGACTTTTTGCCGGGGCTGCTGGTGCTCCTAATTAAAGGAATCTTTGAGTTTACTTCAGAGGGCTTGTCATGTTTGGGGAGCTGGGTCAAAACAAAGGGACTCAGGCCCTTGTGGGCTTTTTTATGGGTTAAACAAGGACCAGGCCATCCCTGCGCCATCTTGTCTGTGCCAGGGATATAGGGGTGGCACTTGCAAAGGCTAGGGCAGGTTAGAACCTGCATTTGATGGGATTCTGGTTTAAATATTATTTCTTGAATTTACAGACGCAAACATCCTACTTTGCAGGTCATCTTAGACTAACCACCATAATTGAACTCAGAACGATGGTCAGAAGTCACTGGAATCCTTAAGGGGGTCACTATGAGGCCGCAGCCCAATTTTATGACCGTTTTTATGGCAGTCATTCAGTGAATGCCACAGTCATTATGCAAATCCAGTTTTCGCAGAGGATGGGCTTTGCTGGAAGCGGGAAGTAAACACTAGAAACCAGGAAGAAAAATTAAAAACCCTGGTGGTTGCGTGACTGCCAGACGCTACAAACAGCCATAAAGGTGAATCAGTTGCCAGATGCCGTCATATGACCAGGGGGTGTGTGTGGCTGTTATAACTCAGGGCATAAGCCGCTTGGGCGTGTTGTGTGATCCATTGTAACCTTAAATGGTTGACAAGTGACCAGTTCTAAGTCAAGGACTACCTATGTAGGTGATGCAACTTACAACAGTTCCTTTAGTGACTGAAGTTAAAGCAAAATTCAGACGCATGGCAACTGACTCACATTTATGACGGTCGCGGTGTCCCGGGGTCATGTGATCCCCTTTTGCAACCTTCTGACAAGCAAAGTCAACAGAAAAGCCACTTAATATCTGTGTTTCTGAATTTACAACTCCAGTGATTCACTTAACAAATGTGGCAAGAAAAATCATAAAATGGGGCAAAACTCACTTAACAACTGTCTCACTTTGCAACAAATTTTGGGCTCAGTTGTGGTTGTAAGTCAAGGACTGCCTGTAATTTTCTTGTCATATACTTAATAGTTTCCCCTTTCATCATGCTGAAAATTGCCCTGGAGGCCAGCCTTGTCCTTGGGGGCCAGAGATAGACCTGTGGCCTCATGTTGGGTCTTCTGAAGAAGACTTGGCCAAAGGTTGCCTGGTTTTCGACCGCCCAAGCTCAGAGAAAGCCACCAACCCTCCTTCTCTCCTAGGGTTCAATGCAAACACCACAGGAAACAGCCTCTTTGGAAACAAGCCTGCAACCGGGGCTCTGGGTCCAGGCCTCGGGGCGGGATTTGGGACAGGTAAGATCGGGGGAGCTACCAGCCTGGGGTATTTAACCTTCATTCCTTCTAGAAAGTTCTGCCAGGAATCGGGGTGTCGTAGAGATTCACTGAGCAAAGCACATTTGTCATGAACTATCGGTAGCCTCAGACCATCGTTCTCTCCATGGTCAGATTTTTCATCTGTTATTACTACTAATTATTATACATTTATTATACAATGGTCCCAAAGGTGGTTCTTCAAGAGGCAACTGGATTTTCTTTGTTTCTCCTTGAAGGCGTTTCACTTCTCATCCAAGAAGGTTCTTCAGTTCTGACTGAATGGTGGGGGATGGAAGGATTTAGATTTCTTGCATTCGTGAGCGCTCTCTCTGAGAGTCATTGAGGCCACTTGGAGGGTTATCTGTGCCCCCCAAGTCCCCCGAATCAGAGTGCAAATGGGTGTGGAACCTTCTTGGAACTGCTAAAGGGACCGTGTTGTAAACAGGAGACAGGTGGTGTCCTATTCCTCCCCCTCTGGTGAGAGAGGGCCGTTCAGTCTTGATGTAGATGGCCTCTTTGAAACCCTGAAAAGGTGACTCTGAGGGCACAGATAAACCTCCAAGTGGCCTCAACGACTCTCAGTGAGAGAGAGCTAACAACCAGATGACTGCAAGGAATATAATCTTTCCATCCTTCACCATTCAGTCAAAACCAAAGAAGCTTCTTGAATGAGAAGTGAAACATCTTCAAGGTAAAACAGAACGTCCAGTTGCCTCTTGAAAAAGCCCTTTTGGGACAACCATGACCTGGATGACTGAGAATCTCCACAGACGTTTCTTCCAATTCTTATTTTGTTCCATTTTACTGAAACAGAGATTAAAAACCAGCTTCTGTTACATAAGGCCAAAATACAGTTTCAGCAGGATCAACAGATGATTTGAAGCCAATTATGATCCGTTGTGATGGATTCCTTGACAGTAATTATGTCTTAGTACTTACAGTAGCTGACAGCCTGGCTGTCTATTGATTCATCTGTGGGGATTGTAAAAGCCCCCTCCATACACACCCACCCCACCCTTGGCTCTTCCAGCCAGCTTTTTCAGTGAATCTAGAGGGGCAAAAAAAGGACCTTGATGGGGTCATGGAAAAGCCATTGAGGAGGTGAAAGGGGTTGGAACATTTTTAAGTCCAGAAGATCCAGATAACGGAAGCGCCCTCAGTAGGCACCTCCCTAATTTGCTGAGAGAGGAGGAGGAGGAGGAGAAACAGCAGTACAATCAGACTTGCCAGATTGTGTTATTAGAGCCAATCTGAATAAAAGCAATTTTACTCTTCCTGTGGGGTTGATTGCATGGTCAGCTACGGCTAGTGAAGCGAAAGTAGTAAAAGCACTTGGACTTGTATACATCACTCTCGGGGAGGTTTATAATGTCGAAACATTATTTGCATGTTGCCCTCAACAATCTGGGTCCTCATTTGACCAACCTCGGAAGGAGGGAAGGCTGAGTTAACTTTGAGCTGGTCAGGATCGAACTTTAGATTATGGGCAGAGTTGGCCTGCAATGCTGCACTTTAACCATTGCACCACCAGTGGTTATACTACGGGTATAACTCCACAGAGAAGGTTGCCAGGTTTAATTATGTCTCTTTTTAAAAAGTCTGACCAAGCCATCATTGGCCAATAGAAACATTTTTCCAGGAACATCTTAAGACCCTCCGTGTTTCTTTCCGGACTGTTTCAGGAAGGTGTGAATGCCTTGGTGGTTGCTGGTTGATCACAGTCTTTTCTCTCTTCCCCCCCACTTTCTCTTTCCCTCCCCTCCTTCTGCAGCCCTTAATCCAGGGCAGAATTCACTCTTTGGCAGCACGCAGCCCAAGCTAGGGGGCACGCTGGGGACAGGAGCCTTTGGTGCCCCTGGATTTAACACATCAACTGCCACATTGGGCTTTGGAGCTCCACAGCCTGCTGTGGGTAAGTTGCTCATGCCCCAGTAGGGCAACCTCCACACCTCCTCCTGGCATGCTTGACGCACCTGGAAGTGGGCTGCCAGCTGTTTATTTCCCCCCATCAGCGCAGTCAGTCTCTGCAGCTCTCAGAGGAGGCCGCCTTTGCCCCATCCCGTTGAGCGGCCTCCGGTGGGCTGTGGGCTCATCCTTGCCTTCCTTTTTCCCTCAGCTCTGACAGATCCCAACGTCTCTGCGGCCCAGCAGGCCGTTCTGCAGCAGCACCTCAACAGCTTGACCTACTCACCCTTCGGGGACTCGCCTCTCTTCCGAAACCCCATGTCTGACCCGAAGAAGAAGGAGGAGGTGAGGCAAGGAGCAGGTTCTCTCTGGAAAGGCAACTGGGGCAGAACCAGGAGGGCTGGGAGGGAGTTCTGGCAGTTAATGGTCTTCACACACACACACACGGGGGGGGGGGGGGGCACAGACCTTTCTTGCCAGCCATCATTACGGCAGGGAGCCAAACATGGCTGGAGGTAACACCAGGAATATATTTCTTTTATTGATTGCACACATTTTTGAACTGCCCATCACCCCAAGGGAGGTAGATAGATGATAGACAGACAAACAGACAGACAGATGATACGCAGAGAGAGAGATAGGTGATAGATGATTGGCAAGTAGGTAGATAATAGGTAGCTAGCTAGATGACAGCTAGTAGGTAGGTGATAGAAGATTGATAGATAATTGACGACAGATAAATTGATTGATAGAGGATTGATAGATGTTAGGTGACAGATGATTAGGCAGGCAGGCAGGCAGATAAAAACACCTGAACGGAACAGTGGCTTCATTTGTTTGGGGAGTGAGCAGTGAGTCAGCTGTTTAAAACTCTAGAAGGGCCAGCCCACCATCGCTCAGGCCCAGCCAGAGGAACAGAGAGGACAGTCATCCCCACATTGTAACACTTGTTCCTTTTTTGCAGAGGCTGAAGCCAACCAATCCGGCGGCCCAGAAGGCACTGACCACCCCAACACATTACAAACTGACTCCCCGCCCGGCAACTCGTGTGCGCCCCAAAGCTTTGCAGACAAGCGGCTCCTCCAAATCCCACCTTTTCGATGGTCTGGACGACGATGAGCCTTCTCTGACCAATGGGGCCTTCATGCCCAAGTTAGTAGGGTGATCTCTTCGCATCCACCTCTGATTCTTCAGGGTTGCTGTAGCCCAGGGTGCCCAACTTTAGCAACTTTAAAACGTGTGGAGTTCAACTCCCAGAATTCCTTAGCCAGCATAGCTGGCTGGGGAATTCTGGGAGTTGAAGTCCACAGGTCTTAAAGTTGCCATGATTGGACACCCCTGTTATAGGCTTGAGATTGCCCTAAAGAGTCTGGCTTTGGATCCCAGGTATTAGCGCCTAGGCAATTTCTTCGACTTCACTTGATAACTTTTCTCAAGCTTCACGGCTGATCCTAGGACAGCCCTTGTAACTGTCCTTCTGGGTTTATAGGAATTCCTGGCTGATGGGAGATTGAGAGGTCTTTCTTATCCTTCTCTTATTGAACCTCAGTTCTTGAGATGTCCTGGCAAGATTCAGCTCTAGTTGAGCTGGCATGGATTTTCTTTTCTATGTTTAATCTGATGCTCAGAATAAGTAACCACAAATTAGAAGAGAGGAATTTTCTTCTCTTTTTTTTTTCATCAGTGTTGGAAGGAAGGGGATTAGTGGAGAGGAGAGGGAAGGAGGAGCAGCAGCAGCAGCGCTGTGGAGTCCTTGGTGCTTGCTGAGCTGAGTTGTATTCCTGGAGACATTTCATTGCCCAACTAGGTGACATCCTCAGCAGTGAGGATATTACTTAGTTGAGTCATGAAACATCTGCAAGAAAACCACCAGTTCAGAGAGCAGCAACGACAGCATAATAGTCCTCCTCCTCCTCTCTGCAAACTCTTTCCCCCTCCCCCCTTCCAACTAGCCATGATAGTGTTCCCTAATTGGGTCATGAAATGTCTCCCAAGAAAACAGCCCAACTCAGAGAGCACCAAAGAGCCCTGATATACAGATGTTCTCATATACATCAGGACTTTCTCCTCCTTTAGGCCCATCACCTTCTGCCAAAACAGAACCACAATAGCGGTGACCTCAGCTGGAATGGAGTGCGAGGGGGAGGCCGGACTCTACCGGGAGCTATTCCCTGCTTTGGCTTCCCAGGATAACCTCATCTTTCTCTCCCCCAGGAAGAGCATTAAGAAGCTGGTTTTGAAGAACCTCAACAGTGGCAGCCTCTTCTCTCCCGGCGGTGCTGAAGTGGATGACATTGCCTCGCCTTCCATCTATCCTGAGAACGGGGATCGGTACGTCTGCTGCCGCCCCCCCAGCCCCCCGCCCCCCACCCCCCCCCGGTTCCTTTATGTCATGAGCAGAAGTCAGTTGTTAAAAAGAGCTCCAGCTGCAGTTTAGCCATTTGCAGTTCTCCTAGCTACGAAGCTGGAAGTGCTGTGCCTTAATCAGGCTGAGTGCTGAAGGATTCCTTTTGTTGGCATGGCGAGATAGTAGCTCCTGTGCAAAGAGCTGCTGGGTGTTGCAGCCCTACATGGCCTGGGGGGTCAGGCTGCCTGCAGGAACCCTCTTACCCCCATCCCATCAGCCCATCCCAGCCGTCAGGCAGGAAGGCATGTTGCAGACCCCATCAGTTAAAGGATTCTGAGTGGTGGAGTCCAGGAAAAGGGTCTTCTCTGCCATTTCCCCTGCCCTGTGGAATATCATCCTAACCCTCTTGGCCTTCTGAAAAGAGGGTAAGACGTGGCTTTGTGACCTCATTGGGGAGAAGCTCCTTTGTGGGGGAGGTTGGTGATTTCTGAATTTATTTATTAATTTGTTAAGAAAACATATATTTTGAATGTACGAAGAACTGTGGGGGCGCAGTGATTAGAATGCAGCATTGCAGGCTGACTGCCCACAGTCTAGAGTTCAATCCTGAGCAGCTCAGGGTTGACTCCACCTTCTACCTTCTGAGGTGGGTGAAATGAGGAGCCAGATTGTTGGGGGCTATACCAATCACCCCACCCCACCCCAGATTAAATAAGTAAGGGCAAGGCGTGCCAGTCTGAGCTCCTTGGCAGGAGGAATTGCAGCCAGAGTTCTAAGGGAAGACCGCTGATCCTGAGCCTGTGGTCCCCATTCTGGATATCCCCCACTATGACTGGGTTGAATGGGCTCAGAGCATCACAGCCATTGTCAGATAACTGGGAATTGTGTGTTCTCCAGCAAAGGGGCTGGAAAGGCAGCTCACACCACTTGCTCTCTTGGGGAGATGGATACACCAGGGATATCCAACTTCGGCAACTTAAAGACCTGTGGACTTCAACTCCCAGAATTCTGAGAGTTGGTGTCCACAGGTCCACATAGCATATCTGGCTGGGGGATTCTGGGAGTTGAAGTCCACAGATCTTAAAAATTGCCAAGATTGAACAGCCTGACTTACACTCTAGATCTGCCATCCTCCTATTCAAGAGGCATTGTCTGAGACGGAAATCCCAGGCCAGCGAAGTCCGCTTTCTTCCTCATGGGAGACGCGGCACAGTAACTTCCTTTAGAAACGATGGTTTCCGCCTGCCTGCTTCCCTTTGTTTGACCGAGTCTCCTCTTCAGGTCGGTTAGTGAGAACCATAGACAGGACGAGGAGCAGGAAGACGACAGCTACTCCCGGGAAATGTCCAGGTTCTTAACCAACGTCATTACCAAGCCCCTGCCCCAGACTCCAGAGAATGCCCCACACAAGCATCACAACAACAGTGTGGACGACACCCTCCTGGCCCTGAATGTGCGGCCGGCGCTGCGGAACGGGCTGGAAAACAGCCTGGAGGAAGCTTCCTACCACGAGGAGTCCCTGCAGGAGGACCTGGACAAGGAGAGCGAAGACCAGCTCCATTCCACCCATCCGGCAGGTGAGGTCAAAGTTCTCGCAGGGTTCGGCTGGATGTCCCTTGGTTCACTCAGATGGAGTGTTTATTATTATATTTTATTTTTATCCTGCCTTTCTCTTTTTCCAAACAATTCAAAGCAGCATGACATATTTAATGCTGCTTCTTCCTCTTGTTTTCCTCACAACAATAACCTTGTGGAGTGAGTTGGGCTGAGAGGATGATTGGCCCAAGGTCATCCAACAGCTTTTGTGCCTGAGTCAGGACTAGAACTTCCAGTCTCGCAGTGATTGGTCCAAAGTCATCCAACCGGCTTTCATGCCTCAGGCAGGACTAGAACTCACCAGCTCCCAGTTTCTAGCCTGGTGCCTTAACCACTAGGCCAGACGGGTGTTTATTGGAAGAGAAATAATGGCTTTCCGGGAAGCAGTCATTGGCCTTGCCCTCCCATGTGACTCTGTCATTGTTTGGATGGTGCCTCTTCCAAAATCAAACGGTGAAATTTCAGATCTTCCTTAAAAAAAAAAAAAAAAAGCATGCTCTGGATCACCCAGCTTCCCGTACTGGCACTCAGCCAGTGAACTTATCATTAGTCCTGGAAAATGCCCTCCTCCCCTGAAGCTGCAGCAGAATCTGGGTTAGCAGATCATTAAGAGCAGAGGGCCTTGGAACCAGATGCACTCTTTAGAAGCAGCCAGGGCAAAACTTTTGTGAGTCAAAAATCCAGAAAATGCTTATCTTAACTCTGCTGGTCTCCCTCTCCCTCTTTCACACACAAACACCAACAAAAGAGAAACATTCTTTACTTATTTATTGCATATGATGATGATGATGATGATGATATCCATTCAGTCACATCCACCTCTTGGCGATTCTCCGGGCCAGGTGGTCTCTCCACGTCTTCTGATCTTGCACTGCTTCTTTGAATTGTTCTGCGCTCTGGCTGGTGTCAGCTTTTGATGGCATTATTACATGTAAAGAATTACATATTTATATATTTAAAATACAGTCACGTGGTGCCGTGTATAGGGAGACCTCAAACGATTACTACAATAGAATAGAAGTAAAACAAACTCATTTTCAGAGCGTTGGGGAACAGTTGTTGTCGGGTGTTGCTGAGTGCTGGCCTACACCCAAAATGCCATGCCATGTCGCCATTGGCAGGGGTGTCCTATATGTTCTCCATCTCTGCCTTATAGGCGTATCCCGTGTTTTGCTAATGTGCTCAGAGACTGCGTTGCTGTGTGTGATTTTGGGGGCGGGGCCCTCACTCAAATTTTGATTTTTCCAGGAATTGTCTTGACACGAATGGGCTACTACACCATTCCCTCCCTGGAGGAGCTAGCCAGAATGACCAGTGACATGGGAGAGTGCATCGTGACCGACTTCACTGTTGGCCGTAAAGGTGAGAGGACAGGAACTACTTCTACCAGGGTTGTCCCTGAGGTCAGCTCCCCTGTTAGTCTGGCTGAGGCACCTTCAGCCTTACCGACGGCACTGAAAAATGCCTTAACGGCCGTTTTTCACACTTAGGACCGTTGCAACACCCCCGTGGTCATGTGATCGAAATTCAGGCGCTTGACAACCGACTCATATTTATGACGGTCGCAGTGTCCCGGGGTCACATGATTACCTTTTGCGACTTTCTGACAAGCAAAGTCAATGGGGAAGCCAAATTCACTTAATGACTGGATTACTGGCTTAACAAGTGCAGTGATTCCCTTAACAACTGTGGCAAGAAAGTTTGTAAAATGGGGCAACATTCACTTAACAGCAACAACATAAATTTTAGGCTCCATTGGGGTTGTAGGTCGAGGACTACCTGTATTGGAACAGTAGACAGTTTGCATTTCAAGGTTGATGCAAGTTTTTCATAAACTCCTTATTCCTTTCTGGAATAAAGGTGGGGAAGGCAATGGAACCCCCTGTTTTCCTAGAATCGTTAGAGTGAAAAATGGCACCCTTAAAAAATCCACAACCCCCAAAGTTGTTTTCCTGGGCAACCCTTTTCGGTGCCTGTGTAGCCAGGTATATCGCCATTTATGTGTCAGGTGAAGGAGAATCATCCATAAGGTTGAATAAATCTCGTTGACATTTATTCAAGCCTACACGCACAAATCCAGTCAACTAACAGTGGAAGTTGGCACTCGATAAGGGTCCATGGAATTCACGGGGTGGGGGGGGGAGAGGGCTGGGCTTGGATCTCTTGTGGCAACATGGCGATTTCAAACTGATTACACGTTTCACTCTCCCCCCTCCCCCAATCTCTGCCTGCTCTTCTCCTGCATCTTGTGCCCGGCCCTTGATGCTTGCTGACCGACTTCATGAGGTGGGCCAGGGTGGCCGGTTAATGGTGGTGTCCTCCGTTCTCCTTAGGCTACGGCTCCATCTACTTCGAGGGCGAGGTCAATGTGACCAACCTGAACCTGGATGAGATCGTGCACATCCGCAGGAAAGAGGTCATCGTGTACCCAGATGATGAATTGAAGCCCCCCATCGGGGAGGGCTTGAACAGGTGATGCCGGGGGCGGGCGCTCTTCAGATATTCACTTCATTCAATTGACATATTCACTTCACCACCAAGCAGCTCTAGGCGGCTTACAATAAGATAACAACGACAATATAAAACACTAAAATGAACAGATAGTAATGAAGGAAGCCATTTACATGTGGCTCTCAACTTACAACGGTCCATTTAGTGACCGTTCAAAGTAACGCCCTGGAAAAAAGTAATCAGTGACTGTTTAACCAATGGCACTGATGACCATTGCAGTCTCCCCGTGGTCCAATGATCAAAATTCAAACTTGACTCACAGTTACGACGGTTGCCGTGTCCTGGGGTCATGCGATTCCCTTTGGCGAACTTCTGGCAAGCAGAGCCAGTGGGGAAGCCGGATTCACTTTTAACAACCGTCTTACTCACTCAACAACTGCAGTGATTCATTTAACAACTGTGGCAAGAAAGGTCATACAATGGGGCAAAGCTCACGCTCAGCAACATAAATTTTGAGTCAGTTGTCATAATTTGAAGATTACCTATCCAATGGAGGCAAAGTCTTCTCCTGATCCACTAACCCTGCTGGAGATGCTAAGACGGGCCCAAGGATACCTGCTCTTCTCAGATTTCTCCTGACACCAGCTGGGAAAGACTACTTTGCCCCACTCTTACGTCCTGTTCAGTGGCAGAGGCCGCACTGCTGGGTATACACACACACACCACACGCACCTCCTGGATGTCTCCATTTCATGCCTCCCAACTTCCTCTTTTGAGCAGGCGAGCCGAAGTCACCTTGGATGGAGTTTGGCCCACGGACAAAACCTCGCGTTCCGTGATCAAGAGCCCAGAACGGCTGACAGAAATGAACTACGAAGGCCGACTGGAAGCCGCCTCTCGGAAACAGGGAGCCCAGTTTAAGGAGTACCGCCCCGAAACGGGTTCATGGGTATTCAAGGTAACCTCCTCCTCTGACAGATCAAGCGGGAGCAGGTGCTGTGGGGCAGTCAGGGTCCCTGTTCTTTTTAGAAGTCATAAGGAACAGGTGGAAGAAGAGCTTCGGTCACATGTGAAAACATATATTTTGGGGTGCTTGAAGTGAGGGGGGTTTGCAAAGGGGTGGGAGGAGGACTGGGGGGTTCCTTAGTGCTCTCTGCCTTGGTGGTTTTCCTGCAGACGTTTCATGACCCAACTAGGTAACAGTGCTATCATAATGGTAATGAAAGTGCTAATAAAAACACATTGCTGTTTGCTGTTATTGAATCTTCAGAGAGTGACAGCAGGAATTGATGGGCAGGACCTTGTTTTCACACAAGAATAACCTGCTCTTGATCTTCTGATTTGTAAAATACAACCTTTTTTTCTCCATCCAGGTGGCCCACTTCTCAAAGTACGGCCTGCAAGACTCCGATGAGGAAGATGAGGACAACCTAGCCAAAGTGGAGGCTAAGAAGTTAAAAACTGCTCAGGTGCCTCTGCCGGGCCAGCTTATGTCTCAGCAAATGGCTGCAGCTGGGAAGTTGGCACCTCCTTCCAAGGTAGGGGGGGAAAATCAGTGCCCTCTTAAAATTTTGCTCCTGCATAAAGCAAAGTATGCCAACATGAACAGGTTGGAAATGGATTCTCTGGGGGTGATCCTGTCACTTTCTCTCCCCCCCCCCTTTGCACCCTAAGGGACCTTTGCTGTGGTTGCTGAAGAGTGGAGGCAAGACTGGGAAATGGTCTGCCACGCCCAGCATCTCCTGTAAAAGGTGCAGCAGATGCACCGTTAGGTGTTCTGCCCCAGCTCCGGATCCCAAGGAGTGTGACACACACAAAGCTCCAAAAACTCCGTTTAATACAAACAGATCCCTTTCAAACTGCAGGCTTCCAGTGCAAATGTCCTTATCAGCCTGCTATGAATTACAGAGAATAAACAAAGTCCGACAAGTGTTGGCAACCAGCCCAGAAACCAAGATATAACAAGAAACTCACTCTCAAAATGCTCTGCATAGTAATTAAACGTTGTTTCCAGCAGCATGTGCTATCTGTGAGCAAACTTAAATAGGCTAAGGGAGTGGCCAATTAGCCCCAAGCCTTACTCTCGAGTAGACCTCCTCCTGAGTAGCCACTCCTGCCTTTTGGCAGCCCTGCGTGCTCGAGCATTGAGAAGAGGCTTCTCCACTTCACTCTCTTCACTTGAAGGAGCCTCTGGAGATTATGAAGGCCCTGGCTGAGTCTCTGCCTCTGGCACCACATCCTCTTCAGCCTCCTCGCTGTCCGATGTTAGAGAACATCTAACCACTGTACCACTACAGCTCAGAATACATACATACATATTTTCTTTTGAGAGGGGCCTCAAAATTTCATGTTTCATGTGTGCCAGTGTGTTCAAAGAACAAGTGATAACGAAGGTTACCTTCTCCTTTGACTCTCGCAGAGCCCCGAGGCTGACCATCTGGGGAAGGGGGTCGAATTCGACAGCGACATGGCAGACATCACCCAAGAGCTGCTTCCTGAGTCCCTGGCGGAAGAGAATCTGGTGGAAGAACAGGAGCCAGTGCCGGCCTCGACCCATATTGCGTCCTCCCTGGACATCAACCCTCACACGCTGCAGGTGAGTTCTCCACCAGATGCCCCAAACTCTGCCTCCAAGCGGCTTCCGTTTCCTACAGAAAGTTCCTTTTGAAGTGGGATTCCTCCACACACGCACTTTTGGCTTTGGCTTTTATCCAGGAAAAATTAGAATGCTTTATTTAAAATACTTACACCTGATACCGCCTTAAAAGTTAAACCAGCCACCAATTTAAAACTTACAATAAGGAAGAGAAACCCACAAGAGTTAAAAGCAGGATGGGATGGTATAAGGGGTTGGACTAGAAGACCTCCAAGGTCCCTGCCAGCTCTCAGAATCTAGGTTCTGTATCTTCTTTGCAGATCATGAAGGCTTCTTTGCTGGCAGATGAGGAAGAACTGGACTGGATGACGGATCCCCAGTTTGGCAAGGCAGCTGCCGAAATGGACCTTTCCCAAGAGATCTGCTCTCCGAGGCTTCCCATCTCCTCCTCCTCACGAGGATGGAAAAGTCGCCCCCCAGGTACAGCCAGCAACCCCTAGAGGGAAAAAAGTCAAGGTCAGAGTGCCATGGATCCCGCAGTTCAATCCTGAGCTACCAATATTCTCCTTCAAGAGAGTGAACGGGAAAGGGCTACTTTTGGTGTCAGAGTTGTGTGCATTGCACCGCGACCGTAGGAAAAGCAGGAGGTGCTGCTTAACTGTCCAGAGAAACCCCCAAGGAGGGGTTTTGAAAGAGCACCTTGAGAGTTGCAAGCTGGACTGGAAATCATGTGGAGGCCAGACAGCTCCTTCCCCAGAGCCTGGTTGCGACTGTTGGGCCTCCTAATCCGTGTGCTGCTCTGTGGGAATCAGCAGGGTGCCTGGAGATGCCCCTTGGGCATCGGCCCTTCCCATCGGGAGCAATAAAAGGCAAATCGATGAGGGCATTTTCTAGGAATGCCTCTTTGAGTCTGCCTGTGGGTGGGGTGGGCTTTGTTGACGAGCACAGGGCTGGCCCCTTGTCCTTGTGGAATCTCCAGGTAGAGTGTGGGGAGGTGTGAAGAGCCTGGCTAGCTTAGAGACCTTGCACAGCAGGCCTGACCACCCACAGAATCCCCGTATCCCCTTACCTGGCTGTTCCCGAGAGAATGCGGTCGGTCTGGCGAGATTCTCCTAAACAGGCAAGCAGCAATAAAGAAGCAACTCTGGTCAGCTGGTGGGGTCTCCCCGGTTGATCCGTTTGGAAGAGGCAGCTGCCAGATCCGTTTCCGCTCCTGTTTTTTTAAGCTTTCCTTTTGACTTTCCTCCCTGTTTGCAGGCAGCAGGCTGCTGCAGTCACGACTCTCCACCGGCTCTTTCCTGCTCCCAAGCGCCTCCCTCCAGGACAGCCGCAGTCCGAGGACTTCCTCAATGGGCGGGGCTTTGCCCGCCCCGCCTTGGGCTGCTCTTTCTCCCCTGGCCTCCGCCTTCGTCATGCCTCGCTCGGCTACTGAAATGCCCCTGAAGACCGTGGGCATCCGCAGGCAGCCAGGCCTGGTGCCCCTGAAGAAATCGATCGCCTACGGGAAAGGACGGCTGCTGAAGGACATGGCCCTCTTCATGGGACGCTCCTTCCGGGTGGGCTGGGGGCCCAACTGGGTTTTGGCCCACGGCGGAGACCGCTTGAGCCCCCTGAGCGAGCCAGAAGATCACGGGGAGGCCACAGAGTACGGATTCTTGCCAGCCCCCGTGGCACCCAAGCAGTACGTCATTGCTCTGTAATCCTGAGGGCAGGAGGGGGTTCTAGGGGAAAGTGCCTCCCCACTGCCCAGTATAGCCAGTAGGGACCCTCGGGGCGCTCACCTCAATCTGGGTGGCTTTTCTAGAGCATTTGGGCCGTTCCATTCTCTGCTGCAGGGGTCTCCAACCTTGACAACTTTAAGCCTGGGAGACTTCAACTCCCAGAATTCCCCAGTCAGCTTTGCCAAGGCTGGAGACTCCTGCTCTGCTGGGCCTTGGGGGGGGATTGTGGGGCTACATGTACTGATGGATCCCGGGCAAGAGAAGGGAGCCCCCTCCTCCTCTCCTCTTCCTCGGGCTCTGCCAAGAGGGAGGATACAAAAGGGGCCTGGCCTCTTCGGTTCCCTGCCCTGGCCTGCCTTTGGTGGCGGTTGCAGCTCTCTCCACGTAGTCCTTGACTTAACAACAGTGCATTTAGTGACCATTCCAAAAAAAAAGCGACTTATGACCATTTTTCACACTTAGCAACCATTGCAGCCTCCCCATGGTCACATAATCCAAATTCAGCCTATTTATGACGGTTGCAGGGTCGCTGGGCTCAGCTGATCCCCTTCGTCAACCTCCTGACCAGAAAAGTCAATGGGGAAGCTTGATTTATTTAACAATCGGGTTACTAACTTAACAACAGCCGTGATTCACTTAACAACTATGGAAGAAAGGTCATAAAATGGGGCAAAACTCACTGGACAGTGCCTCACTTAACTGACATTTTGGGCTCAGTTGTGGTCATAAGTCGAGGACTATCTGTGGTAGGAGCAGCGCTGCAACGGAGCGGAAGGTCCTGAGGGAGCTCTCACCACAAAGTCAGTTGGACTGAGGATTTATCCCACTCGGAGTAGCCAAAGAAGCCCACCGTTGAATCGAAAGAGAAGCCTTCGACCCTAACAGGCCCTGGCCTGATGCCCTGCCTTTTGGGGAGGGGGCTAGAGGGAGATGCACTGGTACCCAAACGCTCTTCTCAAGGGGCTGGTTTTTACTCCCCTTAGAAAGCAGATTAAGAGCGGGGTGGGGGTGGGATCTGAACTTCCAGTGGTGGGTAGTTCCAAGCAGCTTTGCTGAGCGTCTCTCTCAGCACAGGGTAGAGTTTATCCATCCGCCCCCTAAATTTACTGCAGCAGCAAGGGAAGGATGGGGGGAGAGGGCAGCCGTTGATCCCTCACCTCCTGTCTTCCTGATCACCTCCCCAGGGTCTCCGAGTCCCCCTTCAAGGTCCACCTGGAGAAGCTGACCTTGGACGGCAAGCCAACCGACCGCGTCTACCTCCTCCCGTTAGAGATCAAGCTGAAGCACAGCACCATCCACCTGGATGACCCCTGCCCCTTCCTGGCCCCCAACCCCGGCGTGGCAACCATCCATGAATATGCCGCCTGGGCCTCGGAGGCGTCGGAAGACGCAGAAGAAGAAGAAGAAGGTGAGGGGTTGGTAAAGAAGGGGAAGGAGCAGTGGGAGGAGTCTGGGATGGCACCTGCGGCCAGGATCTTCCCCTCCCGGAACTGACCCCGAGACCAAGGGCCCTCTGCCAAGGGGTCAGGACACGGGGAAGTCCTCTCTGCTCTTTCCCGCCGGTCACTCTTCCAAGTCCCCAGTCTTTCCGGCTCCGTTGAACGGCAGTGGGGAGGGGGAGGGGGAGGGGATGGCTTTGTGCACACGCCCAACACTTGTGCAAATGGTGCTTTGCAAGACCTGGTTCCCAACGGGCCACAGGCCAGTCCCAGACGGGGGGTTGTGGAATACGAGGAAGATGGCCTTGATGGAGATACGTGAGCTCCGCTGCCCAGGAGAACAATTGACAGTTGGAGCACTTGATGGCATGGTCTGACTGGCATCGGCCTGGCAAGGCTCTGGCTGAGCTGCTGCTGAAGGCATCACCCAGGCATCCAGGACTGGAGCATGCTTCACTCCTGGAGCTGTCCGTCGAGGTCATTCTCCCTCCCTCCCTCCCTCCCTCCTAGACGGGCAGCTGGGTTGTCGTCCACTTTCAGCCATTCGTTATTTCGGGGATCAGCAAGAACCTTGAAAAAGCCAATGGGGCCCCGAAGGTGGGAGGAAAGCAGGGCCCAACTGTCCACATTAGCCTGCCCAATCCAGCTCCCAGGGAAGAGCAGGAGGATATCTGGGAAGTACAGGTAGTCCTCGACTTACGACCACAGTTCAGCCCAGATTTTCCATTGCTAAGCAAGGTAGTTGATAAGTTGAGTTTTGCCCCATTTTATAACTTTTCTTCCCACTGTTGTTAAGTGAGTCACGGCGGTTGTTAGTTGTTGTTAGCTGAATCTGGCTTCCCCATGGACTTTCCTTGTCAGGCGGTCGCAAAAGGGGATCACGTGGACCCTCCCTGCGACCGTCACGAATATAAACCGGTTGGCAAGCATCTGAATTTTGGGCAGGTGTCCCATGGGGAGGCTGCAGCGGTCGCAAGTGTGAAAAAACGGCCTTTTTCCAGTGCCACTGTAACTTCGAATGGTCACTAAATGAATGGTTGTAAGTCGAGGACTGCCTGCAAAATCTCCCAGAGGGAAGGGAGCGTCCAGCCGGAGTCCCCGGGGGTGCCAGTCTGACTGACGGCCGTTGCCGCTCTCTCCGCAGCGGTGTTGAGGGCCTGGGGCCTGGTCTGGCGCTTGTGCGAGGCGCTCTGGGGCCGCCTGAAAGAGCTGGAGGGGCGCCTGGAGGAGCCCGGGGAGTACGGGCTGCTGCTGGAGCGCCGGAGGGCCTTCTCCCACTGGCTCTCCCGGACGGCGGCTGAGCGGATCCAGGAGGAGGTCTCGCTCCGGCAGAATGACAGCCCCGCCGAGGCCGTCTTCAGCTACCTCACCGGGAAGCAGATCGGCAACGCCTGCCGCCTGGCTCAGCAGTCTGGTGAGACCCCGTGCCCACTTTGGGCCTTGACGGGGGGAGGGGAAGGGCGGAAATACCCAGCCAGCAAAGGGCTCCCAACTCCCAGCAGGACCCAGGAAGCCTACCCACCCCACGGCATTTTAAATGCTGCCCAGAGAAGCCTGAACGGAGGGGAGGGGAGGGGAAGCACATTAGAGGTGGCTGATGGAATAGGGAACACCCCACCTCCTCCCTGGGCACCCCTTGCTCCCTCCCTCCTGCTTGCTTTATAGTAGTCTTAAGTGCTATTTCCATATGCCAGGCTGTCAAATGACTCCACATTTTGTAACATGCTAAGTTGCTTGACAAGCATGGCATATAAATTTCATAATTTACAACTCCGTAAAAACCACGTACAGAAGGAGAAAACGTCAGTCAATGGCAAAAGGCAGCTTTACTTTGGAACAGCTCACATTCCGTGAGGAGACTTCTAACACCATCCACCATCCATATCTGCCTATCTCGGATCCTTGGGAAGGACTCGATAGGCAGACAAAATGCAGGCTGTGTGATAAACATTAAAATAAACGGAGATTAAATAAGTTTTAAAAACCCGGAATTCTACGGGTGGAGGTGGGGTCTCCTTCCTAATCCACCAACCACCTCTAAAGTAGGGCAGGCCCAGGTTTCAAGGCCCCTGCGGGTGACCAAGAAGGGCGAGATATTCCGGAGGGTGGGAGCCAGCTGGCATTCCGTGACCGGTGGGCTCCGCAGCAGCCTGGGTGGGGCAGGCCAATCCCATTGGGGTGAGAGGGTTCCTGGTGGGGGATTGCATGCAGCAGCATCCAGACAAAGGGTCTGTGGGGATTCTCCATCCTCCGGGTCATGGTTCTCCTAAAGGTGCTTTTTTTCCAAAAGGCAACTGGACTTTTCTTGGTTTTTTCCTTTGAAAACCAAGAAGCTTGAGAACTTCTCCAGAACTGAAGACGCTTCTTGGATGAGAAGCGAAATGTTTTCAAGGGAGAAAACCAAGAAAAGTCCAGTTGCCTTTTGGAAAAGCACCTTTGGATATCCAGGTAAAGGCACGCCAGCGCCCCCCTCCCGGTCCCTCTTTCCTGGTCTCCGCCTAGCAGGAGGCTGGAGAGGGTCATCTCAGCTCTTGTGAGGAAGAGGAAGAGCAGCCATTTTTGTAGGGCCGCCTCCTTGGCGATGTCCCCAGCGCTGGCTGGTGTGAGGCTCCAGGAGCTCTCGGGCTGCCTTGGATGCTGACGGCTCTTCCGTTGCAGGGGATCTCCGCCTGTCTCTGCTCCTCTCCCAGCTGGTGGGCAGCCAGGAGGTCCGGGAGCTGTTGGCCCTGCAGTTGGCCGACTGGCACCAGCTCCAAGCGGACGGCTTCATCCAGGACGAGCGGCTGCGGATTTTCTGCCTCCTGGCTGGCAAACCGGTGAGTGGTGTGGCGCTTGCTTTCTTCCCCAGCCGCTGGCTGCTGTGGCTGTGGTCCCTTTTTCAGCCTTGTGTCTCCCTGCTCCAGGTGTGGCAGTTATCCGAGAAGAGAACCATCAACGTTTGTTCCCAACTGGACTGGAAGCGCTCTCTCGGGGTCCACCTGTGGTACCTGCTGCCTTCGACGGCCCCCCTTTCGAAGGCCCTCAGCATGTACGAAGCCGCATTCCAGGTACGTAGCCGTTGGGGACGCCCAGGGCAGCAGGGCCGCCTGGACTGCAGACCCCCCTCTGAATTGGCAGTCTGCCTTGGGAAGAGAGCGGTCATGGCAGGGAAATGGGCTGGGCCTTTCTCTCTTCTTCACTTGATGCCCTCCGAAAGGGCTAGGCATCCCCATCATCCCCATTAGCCACTGGTTGGGGATGGTGGGTGTGGAACATAACCCATCAAGCCCGGCTTGCCATGCCCTGTTCCTACCTGTGATTGAATGCCTTCAAGATTTTGGGATAATTTTTATTGTACACCATCCAGGGTCCCTCAGTGAGGGAGATGGGCAGTTTTAAAATGTGGTACATGTGTGTGTGTGTGTGTGTGTGTGTGTGTGTGTATACACACATACATACATACATACAGAGAGAGAGAGAGAGAGAGAATGAGAATTAGAAACAGGTAAAGAGATGATGGGGGGAGGGAAGGAGAATAGAAATGAGAGTTAGAGAAAAGGGGGAGAGAGAGAGATAATAGATAGTATAACAAGAGACAGAAAGGACCTTGGAGGTTTTCTAGTTCAACTCCCTGCTCAAACAGAGTAGAGAAAGAGGTAGAGGAGACAGACAGACAGACAGACAGAAATGTATACACAAACACACACACTTACTCAGAGGGAGGGGAGGCACTAGTGTTTTCAATAAACATTGCCCCAAAAATGTGGGTGCTCATGACGGGGGAAAGTCTTATTGGCCAGAATGGAGGGTTCCCATTTAGCTTTGTTGAGGGGAAAGGAGGATGAGGCTTCCCTAAAGCTGGAGAAGGCCTGGCTGGAGCTCTGGGGGGGGGGGGGGGGGGGTGGCTTGATCAAACCCCCCACCCTGGGGAATCGGAGGGTCTCTGCCTGCGAAGACGCCTGTCCCCACTGGGCTCCGTGTTCCCCAGGTCTCCCCAGACGGAGAGAGATACGCGTGCCCTCCGCTGCCTCCCTACCTAGAAGACTCGGGCTACGTGGTGGAGAACGACAACGCACAACGCCCGCTGCGAGACGTGTGTTTCCACTTGCTGAAGTTGTATAGTGACAGGTACCTTCTTTTGCCTTCTCCCCTGGGGCCTTGGGTGGACGGCCAGGAACCCTCGAGGTTCCCCCGCTTGTTTCCCCACCCCACCCCACCCCAGAGGCCCAGAATTCCCACATGCCCAGATGGAGTCTTGCATATGTGAACTGCTGGAAATGGGCAAAGAAAGCAATATGTGGGTCTCTCCCTTGGTTGCCTTGGTTTCCTGTGGTCCTCAGTCCTATTTAAATTCTAAAATAAATTCTATTTGTCTAGTCCCCCCTGTGGTGGCTCAGGAATTCTGGGAGTTGAAGTCCACCAATCGTAAAGGGCCCATAGTTGCCCAGCCCTGCCCTAAGGCAAGAATAAAACTCCCCATTTCTAATCTGGAGTTTCAAGCGCTACAGCCTCATTCCACATTCAGCTCTCCTTAATTCTCACCCACCTCCTTGGCTCAGCAGCCCAGTGAAGCTCTCCTCTTTGTAGATTTGCAAGGGGGGGGGGCTTTCATTCTCCACAGACAGTAATACTTCCTGCCTTTGAGAATTCTGGGGCGCCCTCTGAGCTGGGTGCTTTTCTTGCAGATGTTCCATTGGCCAAACTAGGCAGCATCATCAGTGCTAGCCAAGCCCTCCTATCACTGACGAACATCTGCAGGCCAACCAGCCAGCTCAGAGGGCACCAGGGACCCAACAGTTCAAGGCAGAGCCAGAAATGTCCTCCCTTTGAAGGACCAGGCGGTGCCAGGCACCCAGTGGCCCCAGCGCAGCCAGAGGGTTGACTTGGGCTTCCCTTGCAGGTGCTACGACTTACATCAACTGCTGGACCCCCGCAGCATCACCGCAGACCCCTTGGACCACCGTCTCAGCTGGCACCTGTGGGAAGCACTCCGAGCCTTGAATTACACCCACCTGTCCGAGCAGTGCCAGGGGGTGCTGAACGCCAGCTACGCAGCCCAGCTGGAGAGGGAGGGGCTGTGGGAGTGGGCCGTCTTCGTCCTGCTTCACACCTCCAACGCTCAGTGAGTGGTTGAACCCTGCAGCCGCCCTTGGCCATAATCGGTCGCTCTGAATCGGCTTCAGTCATTCCTCGGAGGGACTTCCCTAGACAACAGGCAGTCCTTGACCTATGACCCCAACTGAGCCCAGAATCTCTGTTGCAAAGAAAGAATTGTGAATTTTGGCTCATTTTATGATCTTCCCTGCAAGAGTTGTTAAATGAGTCACACGGTTGTGAAGTGAATGTGGCCTCCCCCGTGATTTGGCTTGTTAGAAGGTCGCAAAGGGGGATCATGTGGCTCCAGAATACTGCGACTGTCATAAATACGAATATTTACGGACCAGTTGCCAAGCCTCTGAATTTTGACCCCATGACCATGGGGATGCTGCAACGGTCGTGAGTGAGAGAAACGGTCATAAGTCCATTTTCAAATGATCGTTAAATGAATAAGTTGAGGGCTGCCTGTGATTGAAAGTGGCACCCTGTAGCGTTTGGGGAAATGGCTCCACACTATTTTAAATGCGTATAAGAATTCTGCTTTGAGGTTAGAAGCTTTGAAATTATGAATTCTGCACCAGAACTCTCTCTAACAGTAAGAAAGTGCTGAGCCGTCGGGTGGTTTTTTTTTGCAGGCGTTTCGTTTCACCAACCTAGGTAACTTCATCAGTGCCAGCAAGGAGCGAGGTTTGCTCTCGGTTTATATTCTAGTGGTTGGGCTGTTTCCTGTTGAATTGGGTGTCACTTCCTTGATTGTTGGTCCAAAGTTAACCTTGGAGTTAATCTGCTCATCTGGGAGCCGGTTGCTGGTGGAGAGGCTCCGGGGTCTTTTTGGTTCCCTTTTGGGCAGGTGGATGGTCTCTTTTGCGTAGTGTATAGATAGATACTGCTTATCTCTGTGTGTCTGTTGGTGGCTAGTTTGTCAAGAGTGCCAGGCTTCAAGCCTTCTTGGACTGGGAGAGGAACATCAGACCAACAGTCAAGTAAACCAGACCCCAATCAAGGAACTGCCACGGATGACGCGGCCTAGTTTGGGTCATGAAACATCTGCAAGAAACCCGCCCAGCTCAGAGACCCCCTCATCTCAACCCTGGGCTGTCCTTTCTGGGAAGGCTGCCCTTTGTGGACAGCTCTTGAACGGAAAGCCCTGGAGCACAGCCGCTCGCTCGACCGTCCTCCCTCACCTTCCATTCCCTCCCCAGAACGCGGGAAAGAGCCGTGCGGGAGCTGCTGAACCGTCACTGCAAACTGCTGGAGTTGCCCGAGTCCAGGGACAAGGAGGCCTTCCTGACGCAGAAGCTGTGCGTCCCCCCGGAGTGGATCTACGAGGCGAAGGCCCTCTGGGCCCGGAGGGAGGGGGACAAGACCTGCGAGGCCCTCTGCCTCTTCAAGGCCGGCCACTGGAACCAGTGCCACCAGCTGGTGGTCAGGCACTTGGCTTCTGGTAAGCAGTCACACCCACACACACACACCCCCGCCAGTTGCTCTCCATGGGGCCGAAGCCCCCGCTAACAGGAGAGGCAGGCAGGCAGACCCCTGCCCATTCTCCTCTTCTCTCCCCTTCCTCGCAGACGCCATCATTAATGAGAATTACACCTACCTGAAGGGATTCTTGGAAGACCTGGCCAGTCCCGAGCGCTGCAGCCTCATTCAGGGTTGGGACACCGCCGGGCTGGTTTTCTTGGACTACCTCCAGGTCATCGAGATGGTCAGCAGGATTCAGCAGGTAAGGTGGCCGCCGGGACTTTGCCCCCAAGGGTGGGGTTCTTGACCCTCTGAAAGTGTCCGATGGCAGGGCCGCCATTGGCTGCTGACTCGCTTCCCCTGGTTTGTTTCCAGCTGGACTGCACCGGCTATGAGCTGGAGGAGATCCACTCCAAAGTGATCTCCCTCTGCAGCAGGATAGAGCTGGTCCAATGTCACGGTGCCAAGGACAGGCTGGCTCAGTCGGGTAAGGCCAGGCATGTCCCTCGGCACCTCCGGGGGTGGGAGGGGGGCAATGCTTCTGCAATGGGGCGCAGGGCTCACATGCGAAGCCATCAGACAGAACCCAGCACCGGCCCAGGGCCTTATGTGGGGTGGGGGGTGGGGGTTAAAATGCGGCTGAAGGTGCCTCTTCGTTCCAGCCCAAGAGAGAAGCTGCTCGATCAACAGGGGACCCTCACAGCTTCTCTCCACTGAAGAGGCCACCCAGGGCTTTGCACAGAGGATTAGAGGAGGGGAGCACACGGCAGCCAATTTGCTCCCTAAAAGGTCCCCGTTTTACCACTCCCCCTCCCCATCTATAAAATGAAAAGAAACATGGGGCTTTCACTGCCGCAGCCCCCCCCACACACACACACACACTACCGGATGGCCAAACGGGTTTCCTCCTTGTGCGCTTGGTCTCCTGCAGCCCCCGGAGCCCCCTCCCCCAAGGCCCACTCTGACTCAGGAATGCTTAGTGCAGAGAAGCCCCAGGGGTGGGGGGTGGGGGGGTCTTTGTGCGAGACTAGATAATCACACACTAGGATTGACTTGGGGCTGGGTTTTTGTGGGTTTTAACGTTTGAACCGGTTGAGTTTTATAGCTTTAATATAATTGTGTCCGCCTTTTAATTTAAGATAGGGATCTGCTCACAGCAGGTTGAAAGAAGGGTGACTAAATATTGTGGAAGGTTGGACAGATGGACAGAGATAATAAATGATAAATGGATGATAGATAGGTGATAGACAGGTGTGAGAGAGAGAGATTACATACAGATGTAGAGCAGACAGTGGATGGATGGATGGATGGATGATAGGCAGACAAGCAGAGCCCTCCCTCCCTCCCTTCTGGCTCCTCTGCATCCTCTTGAAGAGGTTCTTCCTGGGCCTGGTCCAGGCAGGGTCCTCTTCTCCTGGGAAACAACCCAGACTCCATGGGTCTAAGCCGCCAGCTCTTTCGCAGACCCTTCTGCCCCTGCTCTCTCAACGGAGCGCCCTGCCTGTGCCCTGCAGCAGGCGGGTAGAAAGACGGGGGGCCTTCCCTGCCTCTGGACTGACTGGCTGCCCCTGGTTTCTCTCCCCCCAGAAATGGCCAAGCGCAACGCAGACATCCTCCGAGTGGTGCTGAGCTTGCAGCACCCTCCGGATACGGCCTCCGGCGCCACCCCCGACGTGCAGAGGGTCCCCCTGCGCCTGCTGGCCCCCCACATCAGCCGGCTCCCCATGCCGGAAGACTACGCGCTGGAGGAGCTCCGCGGGCTGACCCAGTCCTACCTTCGGGAACTGATGGTGGTGGCCCAGTGATGAAGCCGCCCTGCCTGCGAGTCGGGGGTCCTGCTGCACCATCGGGCGCCCCTTTGGACCCAGTGGGGGGTACAGGACGCAGCCTGCCTTCCTGCTTTTGTGGGGGGCACGGCTACCGCCATCTTGCTTGCAAGGGAGGGAGGGAGGGGCGCAGGAAGCTTAAGGCCCGGCTCTGTGGTGAGACCCCCGTGAGCCCTCCCTCCCCTCCCAGCCGCTTTGTGGTCTCAATAAAGTCTGCTGCCGCAGAACCCCGCAGTGGTGACCGGTCCCCGCTGGTCTGGCGTTTGGCAGGCGGAAGAAGAGAGGGCAGCAGCAGCAGCAGCAGCGGCTGAGACCTTCCTTGGCTCACTCGAGAGGCAGATGCTAGGAATCATTGTGTGTAAATAGTCCCTGGTTCAGCCGGGCTCTGCCTGGAGACTTGGTCAGGGAGGGGAAGGGGATGGCCCTGGAGGGAGGGGGCTCGGTGGCCATCACGGCAGCAGCATCTTTTCATGAGTGCCTCCTCCCCATCGGTTGGCCCAAGCAGAGAAGCCGAGGCCCAGGCCGCTTGCTTTGGCTTTCGCCCAGGGCTGGAGAGGCTGGGGAAGGCCCCCTTTGAAGACCCTCCCCCCAGCAAGGTGGTCTCTCCCTCTTGAGGCCAGGGCAGCCCCTGAGGAGGGGGACAGTCAGAAGCCGGCCCGTCCGTCCGTCCACTCGTGGGGAGGGGGTCTGTGCGTCCACCATATGCCCAGGGGACCGGCTTAACCCTTTGCACAATCTCGGCCGGGGTCGGCGGGGGCTGCAGCTGGATCAGGGAGGGAGGGAGGGAGGCGGGCCGTGTGCATGTGTGCTTGACTGCGTGTCTTGAGGGGGGGTGCCAGAAAAGTCGTTAGGCATGAAGATTATGTAAAGGTTTTTATTAAAAGTATAAATAAATGATCCAAATTATTTTCTTGTCTGTTTTTCTGGAAATACTTTCTACAAAAAAATAAAATGTTTATAGCATTTTTCTGATTGTCTCTTTCTTCCTTCCGTATCTTCCATTGGCATTTGGGGGGGGGGTGGTTCCTCAGGATCCCACCTATAACTTTTAGCCAGAGGCAGGTGCCAACCGTTGCAATTCATTTTCTTTAAGAATTTTATTAGGCTCCAAAACTAAAAAAAAATAAGGTACAAAATTACAACACAAAGGAAAAAGTGAGGGAGGGGGCATCAACAGGGAAAGTTTAAAGCCCCCACTCAAAATAATATAGGAAAACTTCCAATTCTCTTCAATATGGGTGCAGTTATAAAAGAAAACTTGCATATCAATAACAGTATATCATAGTCTCTTATTCTAAATAAAACACATAACTCATAAATCCATCATACCAATTACACAAATGCAAATATTACTAAATATTTCTATAATCAAATGATGTTATCCATTAAATCCTGTCCGACTTGGGGACTCTGGGCCAAGTTTCCACCTCTTCCGATCCTGCCCTCCTTCCTCAAGTGTCATCAAACACCTCTAATAAGTATATTATCTACTTAACCGTAAAATCCTTAACATACCCATCTTCTTGGTTCATTCTCATTAACAGTTTTATGGTTAAAGTCGCCTGTGGCGAGATGGGAGCAAATAAATTCAATAAAAAGACAATTTGTATACGTTAGCAATAAGATATTCCATCTGTGAAAATGACATTCTTTTTTGCCCATTTCAAATCTTCCAAAAGTTCAAGAGCATAAAGACCAAATACTTGGATCAACACTGCCACATCTGGAAATACAGGGGCGTTTCTGCAGCAGGCGGCTTCCATAGCATAACAGCACTTGATAGTTTTTAGAAGCATGACTATTTGCTGTAGGGAAAATGGCAAAAATGTCCCCAGATTTATGTGACTTTTAGCTACGGTTTGCAAAGTGACCTCCTCTGCACCTAATGCTAGGTCAAGCATGAACAATTTAGTGTTAACATGCAAACTGGGAAAGCAAACTAGGAATTAGGTCAGTCTCCATATTTTTTTATTTTACTTATCAAAATACCTAGTTCAAGGCAGACTAAACTTTTCTGCCACTGTAAATCTGTTGATTCATTAAGGACTTTTATTCTTTCAGCCATCTAGAGCATCTATTGTTCAACCACTGCTTGAGATTTGTCTATAAATTCAATATTTCTGTTCAAAATTGGTTTACTTCTCTTTAATCAGTAGCAGCTTGTTCAGTGGGATGCAGACACTACTTCCAACCAAATGCAGGGGACCTGAAATTAAATGAGTTTATTCTAAATACTGGAACGAGTCTCGTTGCTACAATAAATATATTTGAGAACTCCGTGGCTCTTTCTGCTTATCTTTTGCATTTTTCTAGAGATTTTTTAAAGTTCTATTTTTGTTTACTTGTTTTCAACCTCTTCTGCTCCCTTGCTGAGTCATGCATCTCCCCTTGCTGGAGTTCTGTTTCCACCTGGCTGAGGTAAGGAAAACCCATCCGGGTCTGGCACGCGACCTGCAGCCCTTGGAGAAATCCTGTGCCTGCAAAGAGACCTTCTCCTTCCTTCTGCAGCAAGGCAGCTCACGTACCTGCATGTACCTCGCAAACATCTCCAGACGAGGAGACCTAAAATGCCCCGGGCAGTTTGGTGGGGCCGGTTCCTCTCTCCAGCTGCTTCTTGGTGGGCATGAACATGTCACGGACTCCTGGGGTTTGCACCTTCCTGCTTCTTGGGATCGCCCTGGGATTCTTCGGGATGCCAGGTAGGGCACTTTCCTTGACGAAAGAGGGATTGTGCGAAGGGGTGGTTTCATCAGCTCAGCAACGCCATCCTTGTGGCCCTCGGGTGGCTCTCTTGAAGGACGTTCTGGCTAATGGGGGTCTTTGAGAGTTTCGGATCCTAACAGAATAACAATAACAAGAGTTGGTGGGGTCTTTGCCCATCCCTCAAGGATGGCAGGTAGGATCCCCCAGTCCAGCGCCTCTGCCTTTGCCTTTAGCGACACAAAAAAAGCCTCTCCATGGCAAGGTGGCTCATCGCAGCGGCATCTGGGAAGGGCCATCAGCTAAATTGCAATTCTATCAGCCCGGCCAGGATAAGCAGGGCTGATTAATTGGAATTGGTGTGTCTTGATCTGTAAGCGAACCTTACAAGATGTCACCAGAAGTCCCCGACAGCGGAAACAGGACACCTGTCATTAAACTTTCAAGCCAGGGAAGGGACAGCTCTGCATTTGCCAGATTGCACCAAGGAGGAGGTGGGTGCCGATGGCGAAGAGGAAAGGAGTCAGGTAGTACCAGGAAGGCTGTGGTGAAGAGCGGTGGGCTCTCGGTTCAAATCTGACTTTTCTTGAGGGGGTTCCTGAAGGCCCCTAGGCCCTTGGCGTGGCCTCAACATGTAGATGTGTTGTTACAAGCTGGTCCCATCATCAGTGCCTGCAGAATGGCCTAATCATGAAGTATCTGCAGGAGAGCATCCAAGCTCAAGAACTAAACAACTGAGCTGCAAGAGCCACGAAGACCTCATTTCTCCATGCTCGTTTCTTTGATCTTTCCTTGGTTTTATTGATCCAGGTGTCCTAATGGACAACCGCTTAAGTATGAGCCAGCCGTGTGCTGCGGCTGCCAAAAACGCCAATGCAGTCCTAGGTCTTCATCAACCGAGGGATGGCATCAGGATCAAGAGAGGGGAAAGTATTGCGCTGCACTGCAGTAGTGGGGCCACACTTGGAATCCCACATCTAGTTCTGGTCCCCACGATACAACAAAGAATGCAGAGAAGAGCAACGATCAGTGGGTTGGAGGCTAAATAGTGGGATGGACGGTGGAGGGAACTAGCTTATCGGAGAGAAGGGTCAGAGGAGGGCAACAGGATAGCTGTCTTCCAATATTTGAGGGGCCGTCAATCTCTTCTCTAGAGTTCTTGAGAGCAGGACAAGAAGCAACGGATAGAAACTAAACAAAGAGAGAAGCAACCTAGAACTAAGGAGACATTTCCTGATAGTGAGAACAATTAACCAGTTAAATTGCCTCTGGAAGTTGTGAGTGCTCCATCCCTGGAGTTTCAAGAAAACCAGTTTTCTAGAAAAGATTGGGCAACCATTTGTCTAGGATGATATAAGGTCTCCTGCCTTGAGCAAGGGGTTGGACTAGAAGACCTCCAGGGTCCCTTTCAAGCCTGGGGTTCTATGACTCCCTGAACCAGGTTTAATTTAAAAGCATCCTTCCCTTTCAGGGTAGGAGATGGAGGGGAGAAATGGCTTCTGGGGCTCCTACAACCCAAATTCAAGAGGGAGCAACAGCTTGACCTTGTACCAAGGTTGATCCCTGGAGACCATCTTTCGACGACCAGCAACTCCTGATTTAAACCTCTAAAATGATTTCCCTGCCCATCTTCAGCCTGGCGAGCCTTGCAACACTGCAAAGGGCACCACGGTGAATTTCCATGTGAGCATTAATCCACCTAGAGCCCTCCTTTCATGCCATGTCAGTTCGGTTTAATTAGAGTCCTTCATTTGGCAGAGTGAGCGCTGGCCCAGGGCCAAGGATCCGAGTCCCGTAAAGAAGAGAGAAGCTTAGCAGATGGCCAGCTGCTGGCACCTGTGCCTGCACCCTAATCCACATACGCTCAGAGAATGGACTCACCTGGGAGGGGTGAGGCTGGCCAGCAAGTGACCTTCTCCAAACCTACTCACCCCCATCTATTCCCAAAGGTGTCTCCGACCCTGAAACAATGCAAAAAGCAGGAACTGCTGCATTAACTGAGGGATGGAATCCAGATCACCTGGAGTGTTAATACTGCTTTATAAGGCTTGGTAAGGCCACACTTGGAATATTTGCATACAGTTTTGGACACCACAATATGAAAAAGATGCTGAGGCTCTGGAAAGAGTACAGAGAAGAGCAACAAAGATGATCAGGGGATTGGAGGCTAAAACATACGAAGAATGGTTGCAGGAACTGGGCTTATGTAGTGTAGTGAAAAGAAAGGCTGGGGTGACATGATAGCTGTAAGCCGCCCAGAGTTATACTATGGTCAGATGGGCAGCCAATAAATAGGGAGGGAGGGAGGGGGAGAGAGAGAGAGAGAGGCGTGGGGGGTCCACCTATTCTCCAAAGCACCTGAAGGCAGGACAAGAAGCAACGGATGGAAACTAATCAAGGAGAGAAGCAACCTGGATTTAAGGAATGTTTTCCTGACATCAAGGACAATTAAGCGGTGGAACAACCAACACTGGAGGTTTTCAAAAACAGACTGGACAACCATGTGATCGGAGTGTATAAAATGGTCTCCTACCTTGAGTAAGGGGTTGGACTAGAAGACCTCCAAGGTCCCTCCAACTCTTATTCTTAATAACCACTGAAATCCCAGAAGCATCAGAAGAGCCATCCTTTCTTCTACAGCCTCTGTCCGCCGTCATCTCTCAACCCTCCCAACTTACTCAACCATCCAAACCCTGGTGCCCTTCACAAGCTAACTGCCTCTTGTTAAAGGGAGACCAGCTGTAAGCCATGGATGCAGAGAGGGAGGGACTCCAAGGATGGGGTGCTGCCCTTTTGTGTGGCTGTTCTCCTTTGAGGGAGAATTGGGAGAAGGGAGCAGCAAGCCCCCTCTTGCCTCTCTTGGGCTTCCCCGGCCCCTTCCTCCCCAGTTCTCCAACCTAGACCTTCTCTCCACAGGCTGCTCAGGAGCTCCGGGCAAGGTGGCCTACCAGCTGCTGCACCAGCTCTTTGCCAATTACTCCAGCGCTTTGCGGCCAGCAGAGGACACAGAGCGGGCACTCAACGTCACCCTCCAGGTCACCCTCTCCCAGATCATAGACATGGTAAGGGCAGAGGGCGGGGTGGGACGCCCCGTTTCACGACAGGCCTGGTGAGAATCGGGGATACAGGAAGTCCTCTACTCACGTCCACCTTTGCACCCCAGATTTCTGTTGCTAAGCGCGACAGTAGTTTTGCCCCATTGTACGGCCTTTGTTGCTGCAGTCCTTAAACTGGCAACCTGGTTGTTAAGTGAATCTGGACTTGGCTT